AGCAATTTTGTTAATGCTGAGCAAATTATTTTAGTTAATTTTATAGTTAATTAGGTTGGTCAATAATAGCTTCACACAAAATATATACCCACTATATATATTTATTTTAAGAAAATCAAATATATGAGGATTGTTATATTTATATGTGTATATCGTTTGTTTCAAATACATTACCTTCCCATAAACGTTAGTAGTGTTAACTTAAATATATTTGCTTGTAAATATAAAGATACTGAATAAAACAAATAACAATCATAAGGCATAAAATTAGGTCTGGTAAATACCGTAGAATCCCTTCTAGGGGCAGGCCATCCAAATGAAATATTTTTTTACAAGTTAATTTAAACTGTGTCGGATTCCAGGGTTTAGTAGTACGTGAGTACTCCGTTCTAATGTGTGAACATTAGTCTAACTGCAATACAATCCAGTACTTCCGAATGAATCTCAACTGTAATTATACTGCTAAAACTACAAAGAACAATTTTTGTCCTAGATTTTGATGTCGGTAAATCCGTCGCAGCCAAATAGTTAAATAAGCCGTCCAATTTGGCGGCGAACACTTCAATTGGATAGCTGACCTGCGATCAGCCAAGTAGCCGAAAGCTTAAGAATCTAGCTGAACCAATGTCAGCCAACTCATTGAGAGTCAATACGTTGGGGGTTACCTTAATTTATTGATACGATTTGAAGTAAAACAAGATAAACAATTAATTAATAATTGCTTGACTTTTTCTTGAATCGAGTTTAGGGATGAAGTTTTACAATAAATATTTGTTTACAATAAATATTTGAATAATAACATAACGATAGTAATTAGTTTCAGAGGTATATTTATATTTTTAAATACACATAAATAAACCATTTTCTGATATTTCATGTACAGTCGGCCAAGAAAGTGGTCTACCACCCTAAGGTTGAATTTCGCGTGTTACGTCAACTAACAACAAGGTTGATTTTCCGTAGCATTAATTTTTTGACACGTCAAGTACACGTCATTATTACTATCTTCATCATTTTGACGTAACCTTTGACAGTAATTATCTATACATTTCATTTTTATTATAGAATAAAAATGTAACAAGATTACATTTGTAAGATATTTTGGAAAAAAAATATATGGACGGCCTTCATAAGACTAATAGAAGCCAAAAATATTTTTTTTTCTGTCTGTCTGTTTGTACGTTTAAATACTTTAGAGTTAGAATATCGTAAATAAAGTCTTATAGTCTACAAATATCCTACATTAGAATGTAGATTAATTATATTTTAATACAAATAAAAAAAATCAGTAGGTAGTGAAATGCTATGCGTAATAAGCTATGCGTGTTATAGGTCTGAATATACTGAAATAACGGATAACAGAAATGAATAGCGACGAAAAACATATTGCGCCGACCCATAGCTTAGTGCGAGACAAGGGCTAAAACTAGAAGAGATAGTGAAAATGCTAATTCTTTGGTTGTTAAAAAATATATACAATTCTTTTATAAAATTATAATTCTTAAAATCTTGTGTAGCCGCCATCTGCCTCTATAACAGCTTGGAGACGTTCCCTCATCGAGCCCACCAGTCTTGAGCAGATATCAGACCCACGTGTTTCCTCCCAAACCTCATTGCAGTGCCCTTGTAGTGCTTCTACTGTTCGTTCATTACGGTTACACCATCTCTGAACCATAAGACCCCACATATTTTCAATAGGGTTGAGATCTGGCGATTTTGCAGGCCATGGTATCAAGTTTATTTCCGGATGTGCATCAAACCAAGCACGTGTTACCCTTGCTTTATGTAAGGGACAGTTATCCTGTAAATAATTAAATTGACGCATTTTTTATTTTCTGGATAAACGTTCCGGACGGATGGCAACATAGTATTTTGGAGAACATCAACATAATCTGATGCCGTTGCTCGTGGTGGCAAAAAGGTCAAGTCTCCAACACCATCAGCAGTCATCCATCCATACAAATTTACCGAGATACGACCCGATTCTCTATTTGGCACGACATGATTTTGCGTGTATCGCGTTTTATTGAATCGCCAAAGGTGTAGACGCCCGTGTTGACTGGATTTAAAAGTTTTCTCGTCACAGAAAACAGTGTTACTCCAATCAAAATCCAAATATTCTATGGCGAAATTTAATCTGGCCATTCTATGAGCGTCACTCATATAAATTTTCTTTGCATAACGCCTGTGATGTAAGGCCATGTAATGTAAATGGTTTCTAATGGTTTGGAGAGCCACGTCAAATATGTCGGCAAAATAACGCGTTGGTATAAAGCCAGATTCCTCATAACTCCGTCTCATGAAGACTCGCTGAGTATCTGATATTTCAGGTCTACGACATAATAATAATACTTACCGACACATTTAATTCTCTAGAAATCTCACTAATATTCAAACCATCATTGTGTAATGCGATTATTTGTGCTCTTTCGTTAATGGATAAATTTCGGGGCATTGTAGTGTAAATTACTTAGGAAAATACCTACGGAAAATGCCGAGAAAATATTTGACATGAATTGTCAAGTGATATATTCTTTTTCAGTAAAAGAGTTTTCGTAACAAAATAGTTTCCACTTTGAAGTGACCTACTTAAATTTTAAATTTATGAAATATTGTGAAGACTATTTGTTGTTGCAAATTATTATCTAATGCATAGGCTGCAAAGGTCAAAATAACATTTGTGCTCTACGACAACACGTCAGCATTGTGCATCTCTTTTATTGTTTGTATGCAATTCTTAGATTCGCCTTTAGCGATGCTTTAAAGACACGGGAAATGTTGTCAAAACTGGTAGACCACTTTCTTGGCCGACCGTACTTTGACAAATATTTTTAATAGATAAAAAAATAAAATTAAAGAAGTGAAGTTACTTTGAACCCGTAGATCACGTGATAGGTTAGAAATATTTATTCTATAATAAGAATTTCGCTCGCAGGGAATATTATATAAAAATAGTTTTTCACTGATAAACTTGTTGAACATTTAAGTACATTTTTAATAACAATAATTTTGTTTAAAAAGTAATCAAAATATTAATGTGTAAAATCAGATTTTTTTGAATCGCAAATAATAAGTGATTTTGATTTTTCTATTGAATATAAATTGAAGATGAGATTCTTCGAACACTTCAAGTTGCTAGCAAAACCTAGTTTTTAATAATGTGGTCCTATATTAGTCTTGCTTATAATGGACTAGTAACTTATCTTATATTGGCACTTGTTAAAGCGGAGTGAACATGAGTGAAGTGAAATTTTATAAGAGGGTATGGGGACTCCTTTGTCGTTCCATACTTTTACTGTCATATTCCAGCCAACCCAACTATATTTTATAAGAACAAAGAAATAACTGAAGTGCGTCATGCGGCACCGAGCTCTACAGCGCAATTGTACAACGTTTGAAGGCCGGTACACCATGTTCGTATAGTAACGCAGTAGCCCCGCAGGTTGTCCTAGATTGAATGTGGCACTAAAATCGATACGAATTAGGTTAGGTATTTTATCATTCCCCTCCGTTCTATAACAGGGTTCGTCGGCTGCTATTAGATTGATCTAATAATACTAGAAAATTTCTGAAACTAATAAGAAATTCTATAAAATACTTATATCCTTGGGCTTGACGATTTATAATATTAATTTGACGATTTTAACATGGATTATGGTCCATGTTAAAATTATTAAAAAATATAAAATGTACACAAAATAATAATAAGTAAATTATTCCGTGGTGGGAGGCCGAAAAAATCGGTTGAAAATAACTTCTTGCAGATTTGAGGTACGAAGTAATTAAAAGCTTTTAAATATCGGGATGTGACAAATCGATATTGATGCCAAATTATATGAGAATTTAGTTATCACTGTTTGTATGTATTTCGATAAACTCAAAAACGACTAAAGAGGTTTGAATAAAACTTATTACGTCGATTCATTGTTTTTGTAGGTTTTTCTGGTGATATTCGGAGTGAAACGATTGGATAGGTAGTTTTATCCTATCCTATATTACAACTGCCGATGCCGTAACTTTTGAATTATGACAGAGGGCCGTTTAGTTAGTAGAGGGAGGGGATACTTGACTCTAACGAAAATTAGTTTTAAAAGATCCATCCAAGGATGCCGCACACTATGGGAGAGACGAATATCATCCCCACTACACACGTAGAGGAGAAATCCAAAAAAAATCTCCGAATTTTCACTTTGTCGGCATAACTAACGTCTATAGTCATGCCAAATTACATTTTTTAGTACAAAGTTTTTAAGCTAAACTGCGGACAGACGGATAGACAGACAGGTTCCATGTTTACTACGAAAAACGCTGATGATGATTTTTAGAAAATATTGTTATATTTATTATTAAATAATAATACTCCGGAAAATAGAATACCATTATCTTGATTTGCAATCGGGTTATGATAAATATTATAACTTTACGTAATTTTATTCTTTAACACAGTTAAATTACATAAAGAGTTCACACGTCTCTTCTATGCGAGGACAAGGTTGTCGAGAATCAATATCGGATGACCTAGGACTATAATCTATAAGACAATAGAGGGTTATAATAACGGGACTAATAATAACTATCTGTGGCTATCCTTGAAGCCAGGCTATCCCACACAGAAGAAAGAAGGCTATCCTTACATGTTTGTACACAATGTCTATGAACAAAAATCAAAATATAGGTATGCGAACTAATATTACAAAGTATATTTGTAAAGCATCAGGTTTTGTACAATTTGATTAATATATCATTAATAATATAATCCACTATTTCCGTACCATAATAACTACGTAGTTAATAAAATATTCAATAATCAATAAAAACAATATCAATTCATTAGACTGAATATTTAATAAAAAATAAAAGAATCTTTTAACATAGAAATTAGACGATTCCGCGCTTTGCCCCATGCGGTAAACAATGCAATGGGGATGAGCAGAGGGGTGTAGAGGTGTAGTTAATGCAATTTAAAAAGTTAAAAAGAAACAACAAAAGTGTTTTATTTTAAAGTTTATTGACATAATAATTAAATGTATTTTTAATCCCACCAAAAAACAATGAACATCGAAAGCAGGTCATACCGATGCAATTTATATCACTAACTTATTTTAATTAAAGATACCTAAACAATATTAATGGATTAGATAATCAAGGGCAACTTGAGTGAAAGAACTTCGGTAAAATATAATAAATAAATAAAAATAGAGCATAGTGGATAAATTGACTCAAAAATATAAGCGCCTATTTTATGAAACGATATTTTCAAACACAATATTGCAATATTGATTCACATGTAAAAAAAAAATTCAATTACTCAAGTTGCCCACAAGTGCATGTTATGTTACACGATTATAGTGAATAATATTGTCTTTCGTGATCAGTTCAATTCAGAAGAAAATTGTTGTCTGATATGCTTCTTTTTTATTTCTCTAATCAAAATATTAACACTACCTTCAATCACCAACTTTTGTGGGAGTTACAAAAAGAAAAGCAGTGCATACCTAAAATACACTTGTTTTTGTGTTTATATAGTTTTTACAATATTTATAAGAGAATTATGTAACTTACTTTTTAAATTCTTTAAGTACAGTATTAATTTCCTCCAAATGACCATAGAGCTCATCTTTTTGTAAGTTATACCTGTTTTTTTTTACATTTTCATTCTCATAAAATCTTCATTACATATGCATGAACACTTACCACAATTTAGAATATACTTTTTTAATATATATCTTCTATAATTATAACTAACGTGACCACAATTTAAAACTTTTCTTTCGAGCCCAATGTTTGATGTATATTTGATTAATACAATTTTTAAATATTTTTACATATTTTATCAAAGACGGGAACCTATTTGGAATAAACGAAACAACTTTTACACGGTTTCAGCGCGTTTATATTTAGTTTTATTGACGTAGCGAACCGTGTTCACATAAGATTAAGGTGTTAATTGTCTTTTTAAGAGTAGCTACCTTCAAAACAAAACTATTAGACACATTCGCAAAAAAAAAAATTTTTTTTTAATATATTGATTTATTCCACCAGTTCCAAATTTGGGAGTCTTGTCTGAGAAGAACTGGCGGAACAAACTCCGACAAGAAAAGTGAATTGCTCTGTTGTCTTAATATTTACAGAATGAACTAATTATATAATTTGGTTTTGCAATGTGTGATATGGATTGAAATTTCATTTGATTAACCACTGGATTCCAAGCCTGTATATGCCATCCTTCGTCTCTATTAAAATTCGGATGTTTTTTAATTTCAGTAAGCTCTCATAAATACAAACGCAATGAAAATGTTTAAATGTTGTTTCATTTATCGATAGTGCACGTGAAAATATAAGAAATCACCTATATGGAATGTAACTTTATTGATTTAGGTAAATAAAGAATTTATATCATTATAAACTTATACTAAAAACCTGTTCTAATGAAATACTTGATTTTAGTAATATACCTCTTTGAAAAATAAATAACTTTTAAAGTAAACAAAACAGATTATCAAAATATAAGTGTATGTAATATGATATTTTATGTCACAAATATGAGAGTGAGATTCATTATCGTCACACTATTAATGCAAAAAATACATGAATTCCTTGGGTAAGAATTTAAAAGGGAGTTGTATAAGAACAGTATCTTAAATTAGCCCAAACCTGCTTGTTAAATATGTAGTTAAATTTATCTTGGTAGATTATATATAGGTTTTTAGTGGCATCTTAAAGCAGTTGTTCAAGTGCTAGAAGCAAATACCCTGGAAGATTAAAAATTTTTGGAAGAACAGTAAGGGCATTTTGTGGTCAAGCCTAATGAATTGTACATTATCTACTAACTGGTTCTTTCATAGAATTCAAGTGCAAAGCATAGAATGAAGTTAAGTACGACTCTAATCAAAAAGTGAAAATCTTGACAAATTTACAAAACAAAAATGTACATTGTGAAAAAAGCAGAACAATATGCCATACAGTGAATTTATATAAGTGTGCACTCTTTTACGCCTAAAATTAAAATTACCCTCAAATAAATAAACAGAAAATAAACTTTTTATTTTGTCCCCAAATAAAACAGACTAACAACAGAAATTCAGAAGCTTCATGAGGTTTGAACCTTTCTGTACTTTTAAAAACTTAGAAAATGCTTTTAAATTACAATTTCAAAAATATACAATGAAGCTGTTGAATGTTTGAGACTACTTAAATTTATACATGGTCTACTATCACATTTGGTATAGTAAGTGGCTAGAATGCAATAGATGATGGTGTCATAGAGCATTCCCCAACAGTAACACGATATGATGCAAGTTCACTGATACCATGATAATGAACAAAAGCTGCCACAATCACAAGAACATGGAAGATTTGATGTGATTGAAACCAGATGTCACATTTACCAGGGAACCAACGCTCTGGTACACGAAGTGCATAGAACATAGCACCCAAGATGTAGAGGAGGCCCATGAGTACTAACCATCCGAGTGATGCTTTGCTTACTTGACTGAACCAACCCTCTGTGATACCGTAATGAATTGCTGGCACAATCCCTGACAAACCAAAACCCATGAACACTCCCGCTCGAAGAGGTCTCAGTCGAGGTTCAGAAAATCTGTCCCACAGGGACACTATGATAGATAAAATCCCTAGCACAACCACTACAGAAAGATATATTATTTTGGGTCTGTAGTGGCAGTAGAAACTGTAGTACAACCATGGAACAAAAGAGCCCATGATCAACAGGGCTATGCCACAGTAATCTAATTTAGAGAATAATTTTCCAACCATCTCCGAGTGACAGTATAGGGTATGATAAGCAAACGAAAAGCCAAGGCAAACAATGGCGCCCACAAAGAACACGCCGAAAATCATTTTCTCCTGCATTTGTATTTCAATTGAAGGTCGAGTCAAAAAGTAAATAGCTACACCGATAAATGCGACGCAGCCAAGCAGATGGGTCCATATATTGCCTGTTTCGGTGTGGATGCGAAAAATCGAAGCGAAACAAGCGCTGAATGAGGGCAACGGGGGTCGGTGACCTTTATGCAAGTAGTCATTATCTTGCAACCAGCGTGGCAGGTGTCTGAAGTGGCACACGTTCCAAGATGCTTCCCAAACCTTGCGAACAAATTCCTCCGCTTGTTCCGCCGCATTATGGGCGAGTGCTCCCAAATCGATCTCGTCCGACAACACGCCCGCCTTCAAAACTTCAGCCATCTCGGTATCGAGTAAATGCTGATCTTCCGGAGTGGATGGTAAAGGGCAACCTTCTTCTTCTTCTGCGAGAACTTCGTCTAACTCATCCATTTGGGACGCCAGACTCTCGGCTTCGGGATCCCATCCCTGACGTCGTCGGAGTCCGTCCGAAGACACACTCCGCGATCCGGTATCCGATTCTACTTCCCACATTGTGAAGCCGTTACAGCTCACGCGAAACAAACCCCGAAACCATTAGCCAATGCACAATACACTCGACCTTTATGGGGCACAGTCAGTCCGAGAAATCTTGTTACGTCACGAACAACTTTAACAAAACGCAGGGGCAAGTCCTTCCAATTTCCACAAATCGATAGTTTGTTGTTTATAACGTGGTATTGTAAATTCACTGAGCACAAAAAATTTCAATAAAATCGAATTTCAAAAATTTACGACGCTATGAAAAATGACTATACAAATGAACAGCTGCAAAGAACTGTCAGCCATGCGCGTCCACCATCACCGTTCAATTCAGCCTTTCTCAATCATTACCTCTGTCTCTTTCACTATCATACTATCTCCGTTAGAATCCGCCTAGAGATGTTAAGAGTAAACGACTATTAGCATAAATAACGATGACAATAAAAAAACTAACTATACCGTAACGCTATGAGTCCGCGACCGAATTCCGTTAGTTATCCATGGCATACTCTGCCGAGCCTATATACCCTAATTTAATCTCCAACCCCACGGTAGACTTTACTTGTTATTCACTATGTGTAGCAAAAATACTCCGACATAACCTTCGACATCCTTGGTCGAAGGGTACCGTTGAAACACGTAGTCGAAGTGCTACCACACGTAAAGGTGAATTCACATTATAAATTATTATTGTTGATTATTGAAAATAAAAACTAGTTTCGTCAATCTAATGAGGAAGTATTAAAAAAAAACATTAGTTCCCGAAATTAAACTAGATATCGCTACGGTACTTTCTCGATTTCTCCACGAAAACCCTTCTAGTTTTCTTTCATGTATAAAAGTAAATTAGTTTTCAAAACTCAATAAAAAAACTCAATCTATTTGAAATTTTTCGTATGTGTATTGTTATCGTATATCTAAGTTTCGAACTTTGCAAATTTCAGTTTTTTAATATGTTAGTAAAAAGGAACGGAAATGACTATCTTAGGTCCATTTGGTTCCTGCAAAAATCAAGTTTTGCTAGAGTCACCATCTAGTAGAGGTGCTTTCTTTTTATTTTTTAATACTTCCTCATTTCAGCAGACGTGCAACTACTTTCATAATGGCGTCCAATAGATCCTGCTTGAGATACTGGCTCCGTCAACATCGGCGCTTTACCATGCGCAGATGGTATCGCGACACCAGTTTTGCCATGTAAGTAAATCGAGGAGAAATAGCTGCGTAATTGTAGTTTTATCAAAAATATAAGCATCGCACGAAACGGCTTTAGTGTCGTCACGAAACTGCTAGAGAAATTAATGCAATGAAAGTAGTTTTATGCAACTACTTTCGTAATGTAAATCCAGCCGAAGCATAATGTACAAGTACGCTAGTTGTAGTATCATCAAGAAATAAAAATTGCTCAGGGATATGTGTTCAAATATTAATCAATAGATACAATTAACTTTATTAATTAGTTGGGCCTAGTGATGCATTATGTCAAAAAATGTTGAAGTAATATATTACAATATCTATAATATAGAAAGCTTTACAATATAAAATTACTACATTACAACAAATTTTGCACCTCTAAATAAAAAAAAAAAACACTAAACTTAACAGTTAAAAACGTTATACGTAACGAGTAACGATTCTCGAAATTTGCTATTTCATGCACTTCACTAGATCGCAACATGAGCCAACCAATAATATTGTAGAACATTTATGGCGAAAAAATATCACTTCAGTCATTGGTCCGTTTTTAAATTACGTTTAGTACGCACTTAGGTCAATAACCAATAGACGTAACGTGACGTTTTGAATATTTTTTTTCTAACCTACAAATTTTAATTTATTTTAACATAAACGTGATCTAAAAGTTGAATATAATAATTACTTACTTTTTGAACATGATGCAGATCTTCCACGTTGTTTCCTCACAGAACTATAAATCTTATTATAACTAATAAAAGCCAAACACCACGGTAATGTAATCAAGTTATTCTCTATGTTTTTTTTCATGCTAAATATTGACAAGGCAACAGAAGTATACAGCCATGTTCATCGCAATTGATTCAAATGTCTATTTCATGAAATATTTCTATTTCAATATTATTCCATATCAACATATGAGAAGAGAGATAAGAAATATGAGAACTGAAATAATCATTTACTTATATTAACTATTACGTTGGTAAAAACTATAACTATATTTTTAACTTTTAAGCCTTTCCACTTAAGGTTATTGACATTTCATTTTTTCAATAAAATCGTAAGAGCTAAATTTTCAAACCAAAAGTTGACAAATAAAGAAAAAAAAATGATTATAGTAATGAAAGGCCCATAGATTACTTTTTAAATGCTTAGCCTTGGGTCTTCAATCAACACTACAACTAGATGCCCGGTCAGAGTCTCAAAGATGGCCGAAGGCAACGCCTCACTTCAAAGTGCGTTCTTCTATTGTTTTAGTTTGTTTGCGACAGCGCCAATGTTCGGATATGTTACGGTGCTACAGTGTGATGTCCAGAGTCCTGCAAAAAAAAACAAATATGTCCCGACGAAAATGTTATATGGCAATATAAAAAAGAATATAATATAATAAGTACGTATATTAGATGTTTTTATGTTTTAATATTATGTGATCTCTTAATTTGACAAAAAGTAGATACTTGCTTTTATTTTAAAATTTAATTAATAATACGTAGATTTTTTGATTAGTATTTTTTTGTCCCGACTGTGAACTCAAAATCTCAATCTTTTTAAGTTTTGCCCATATATTTTAGTCTCTCCATCTGGAAACTCTAGAGCCAACCCAGCGCCAACATGGCAAACATTCACAAATATTCTATATTCTAAGACACCACATACATGGAGTAGTGTACTATTACATTTTTTTTACCAAAAATTTGAATCCTGATCGACAACTATCTTTATGTAGTGGTTAGTGTTGTCGATTACAAAGCCGTGTGCATGAACATGTAGATTTGTATCGGTCTGGGTGTTTTATATGAATTTTGAGTTTTTTTTTTTTACAACGAAACTATTCAAAACAAAAGATGGGTTCCCTGAAAGTGACGAATAGGGTATTTGACACTAACGCAAATAAGTTGCATTTTGTGGTCATCCTGATAGATAATAATCTAATAAAGCTTATTTCTTAACATTCGCAGAAAAAACATGTTTAGATTTAGTAAAATAACGTAAAGAAAATGCAATATTTTTAGGAATTTATTCAACGACGAAAACGTCCTATAATTGGTCGTCGTCACAACCAATCACGATTCTGTTTACTGACCTGTGACGTCTTTGCCGCTTCTGCTGATAAGAACTGCCAAAAAGAAATACAGAAAGAAAGAATCATTTACTAATATTTTAAAAAAATCCCAGAAATAGGGAAAACACCTTGAAAATAATTCAAAATTAGAAAGTGGTTTTTGATGATATATTCTGTTCTCCAAGTTAAAAACTAATAAAAAATATCATCGGGATCTGATGTCTAATTATCAAGTGCCATGCATTTAGTGGGCAGACATACTACATGCATATATAAAAAAAAATAGTACATTATTTTTCGTACTAATGTCTCATCCATCTGTAGGTCGACTGGCTGTAAAATGCGAGCCCTGTCAACAAATATAATCTATTGTCTTCTAGCCTCGAAGTTTGTTTGTTATTTATAGAAGTATTAGTATATTGTGGCACCAGCTCATTTTATAAAGAAAAGTAGAGGAAAATAAAAACGTAAAAAATATGCAATACGACTTCAATTTCTCTTCTAAATTATTATTTCAATTTACTCTAAAGACAGTTGTTACTTGTCGATTTGACATATTTACTGGTCTGTGACGTCACGATCAGCGCCATTACATAGAGCAGCGTTTTCGCGCGATTTTGACTATTTAAATTTTAACAATTATTTTCACCAAAAATAGAAAAGATTCCAATGAAATATAATGACAGTGTGTTTATAATGTAGCAAACAACGATTTAAAATAGTTTTCAGAAAAGTGTCAAACACCCTATTACTTATTTTTTTTTATTTATATAAATTATTGAATATTTTGTTGATGTAAGATTGCATATGCAAAAAAGAAACGGCTGAGGTTAAAAATAAGTCAAAGAGGCGATTTTATAATAAACTTAACTTATTCGAAGGTAATAAGGATAACGACTGGATAAAAAAAAAAGAAATTCTATTTAGTCTGTTAGTCAGATAATAGAAAAATATTAGATACATATTTTTTGACTTATATTATTTAACAAGAAATAGCTAAGATAATAGGCATTAAATTTGTAGAGTGGGGGCTCGCTACGTCACAGTTTTGTAGAAAATGTACCATAACGTGACGTTTGAACTCGATGCCTTGCCGTAATTTAATGATTACGAAAAAAATAAAAATACGTATTTAATATTTTTCAACAATTTACCTGACGGACAAACAAACAAAAATTAGTCGTCATCCGAATTAATATTACTATGTTTAATTTAAATTATATTTTGTTTTAGAATTATTTACAAAATCACTAGATAAACCACAAGCACTATAAATTGCCTTCTTAATATAAACGCCTTCTTAATAGTAACGTTAAATTCTTAAATTATAATGTGTGCAAAATAAGGAAAAACCAAAAAGCGTTACTTCATAAAAAGATGATTAATATCTCGATGTTTAATTTTTATTGGATTAAGATTTAGAATAAAAATTTTATATTAAGAGTTAAGAAAAATTAAAGTAGCTAGGTAGATTAAGTATGTTCTTAATTATAAAAAAATATAATGTTAAATTAAATTTGAATATGTACAAACATAAAAAAAATTATAATTGCACTGTTATATAAATTGAAACCTCTTACTTTCCTAAATTATCAACGTATATAATTACACGTATATTTTGTTTTTTTTTTATATGGACTTGTTCCGTTATACCAAATAAAATTAACAGTACGACTCCATACTTACCCAGTTCATAGAGATAAGGTAAAGTGGAAATATTTTCTATAGTTATATAATGGGTATGTTCCGATATACACTGCGACCACTGAACAGTATGACGTCAATTTAGTATACTGGAAGCCCGTTCCTTTATAGCTAGTTATACTGGTGACTTTTTAAAACGGAACGCAGTCCAGTATACTGTTAATCCTATTTTTGGCGCCATTTTCAAATTTGTTAATGCAAGGTGAATATAAATATAAAGATTCCCTCTTTTCAAAAGAAAATATTATAAAATTGGAAAATTGTATAAAAAAATTATTTATCAATCAAATCCATCTTATAATAAACGTAAGTATTTTATTTTATCTGTTTCGACTGATCACGTGGTCAAAAGCACTGCGAGCACTGCACCTCGAAATCTCCAGTGCTCACAGTACAAATATGGCGGCAATTTTTTGTTTACAACATCATTGATAATAAAAAACGATATTTATAGCGAGAGTCTGATTATGGCCCTTATAAATTATTAATTGTTTAATAAAATTTTAATAGGGTACCAAAGAGCGCTGAAGTTGACAAATTTATTTTTAACTTCTTTGGAAAATGCAAGCAAAGAAAAAAACTATTGGTTTGGCTACTCCAGTTAGGAGTGCAACCGATGATATGTAGTGAAAAAAAATGGTGGAAGTTGATATATGAGATCATCTAGATAGTACATCTAGAGCACGTAATATGACCTTAAGAATATATTGATATTTTATTCATAAACATCGATGTTTGGCTAGAAAACATCGATGTGCCGATGTTATCGAACTTAAAACAATGATGACAAAACATCGATATTTTCTAGGTAAACATCGATGAATATCGATCATCCCTATCACCAAGATTTGGCTGTATGGCTTAGTTCTTTCGCCTGTCCCATGGAAGAAACTACTACTACTCATGCGGTCTCGTGGCGGTCTTTAAAAGTCTGGTATTTTTCTATAAGGTGCATGGTTATTTGCTGTTTTAGCAACATTTAGGTAACTTTCCTGCTAATCTTTTACTTTTTGGTAAAAATGATATAATTTGGGTTGAAATCAATTTAAATACTTCATAAAAATGACGTCCTTATTAGAGGTTCTCGTTACAAGTGACTCTAATAATACATTATGGACCTCGTGCATTTGGGACCCTCATACTGGTACTAGTCTTATGACTTATAAAGGTGGCGGAACAGCTGAAGCAAAGACTTTATCTTTCATCGGCAATGACTACATAGCAGCTGCAGAAAAAAGTAAACCCATTCTTCACGTTTGGCCCTTAAATTCTCAACAGACTGTGCAAGGTATGCGATTTGTTTTACCCGGGAAAGCTAGTGCTGTATCTGTCTCAATAGATGGGTTATATATAGTAGCTGGAATTGACGAAAAGATTTTTTTGTGGCAAATGTCTTCTGGTAGTTTACTAACTATAATAAACAGGCACTATCAGAAAGTAGTACTGTTAAAATTCACTCCAGATGGAAAATTTTTTATATCTGCAGCTGAAGATGGTATGGTTATGCTGTGGTCCCTTACCACAGTATCTGCACATCCAGAGGTTGATCTTATTACTCAAAGTACAGCTGGACAACATGATCCTGTTTATATATTTTCTGATCACTCATTACCTGTAACAGACCTTTGCATTAGCAAAACTGGCATACATGGCCGACTCATAACTGTATCAAGTGATCGAACTTGTAAAATTTATGATCTATCTACCGGAGAAATGTTATTAAATATAGTCTTTGATGTGCCACTCTCATCTGTAATAATGGATATATTGGAACTGAATATATTCATTGGTACCACAGAAGGTAAGATTCATCAGTTCAGTCTTACAAATGCTCCAAGAAGTAGAGATTTTCTAGTAAACACAGAAACTAATTGTCCAACATTTATTGCCCATACAAAAGCTGTAACTTGTTTGTCTGTCTCTGTTGGGGGTGAAACCTTGATGTCTGGATCGAGTGATGAACAAGTTATTTTATGGCACATACCCAGTAAACAACCTGTTAGAATTATCAGACATAAAGGACCTATTACCAATGCATTTTTTACTATGAATTTTCCTGCAATATATAAACAAGATTTTAATCCTAGTATAATTTTGCACAGCTTAGAAAGATCTTTAGAAAAGGATGTTGATGAAGTCTCTGAAATAGAAGTTTTGATCAATAAAAAGATAGATTTCTGGCCAACATACCAAGAAAATGATAATGAATATAATCTACCTTCTAAAGAAGTGGAGAATGAATATAAGTTAAAAGAAATTGCTATGAAAAATGAATTGAATAAATTAAAGAAAATCAATGCTAATTTATATGCTTTCAGTGTAAACCAGACTCTTAAATCTGTAGCAGCTTCTAATGATGTTAGTTATAAGAAAAAGAAGAAAAAGAACTATAAAGACAAATAAAATCTTGTATGGGTATTTTTAAAACAAAGTTTTTGTTATCTATTTTGAAATTCCCTTTATATGCATATTAAAACAATAGAATTTAGTTAAGTATTCTACAGCAAGAGGAATTCTCTACAATTTTTGGAAAATGATTATAATAGGTACCCAGTATTTTAGTAAGTAATTTGGCTTAGCAAAATTTTTCAAATTTCATAATTTACATTTCTTTTCCTACCACTCTTTTTGGACGCCTTTTGGCAGGTAAGAGACCAGAAAAATAAAAAACTTATAAAAAAAAGAACCAACTTCAAACTTTAAAGTGTTAAATATTGCTTATCTTAAAAGCATCATATTCAAGAAAATGCTATTGTACTACTTTACTATACTTTTTATAAAAAGTTTTTATTTTTTATGCTTTTTAGTGTTATTGATATTTTTTATGTAATAGGTAACACTAAAAATATTGAATATCAATGTAAATAAAAATATTTAACATACTGAAAGTCTTACAATAGGTGATTATGTTTATTTGCTCAACATAATTATTTCCAATAATTTATATTCATATTTTTATGAGGAAAGATTTGTTTGTTTAGAATGAATAAACATATTTGATATTTTTTATTTGTTTATTTTCATTGGATAGGCCCTGAAACTATTGAACCGATTTATGAAAGTTGAAAGTCTCACAAGAAGCTACATAATACGCGGCGGACATAGGCTATAATTTAAGCAGGCGAGGGAACAGCTAGTTTGATAGAAATATTCATACCTACCGCTAAATATATACTTTACTCATTGATACCTCCTATTGATAGCTTCATTAAAAATATACAATAAAAAGTAAAGAATAAGTAAAGTTCAAAATCTGAAAGAAAGATTTTCTTTGAATGTAGATAATCTTTCTTTCAGATTTTGAATGAATTCTAAATACACAATTGTTTGTTTTTTAGCTGAAATGGGTGAGTCATAACATCATAATATTTAGATGATATCTATTGATAAGCGTATTTTGTTTTGATTAAAAAATTAAGAATTTTGAAAAGTGGTCAAAATTTTACGAAAATATTGAGGTACATACATTTTTTTTTTTAAATATTGACTTGTTCCGTTTTACACAGAAATTTTGCCAACATTCCGTAGTGAGAGAGGTACATACATTTAAAAAATTGCTGTCGAACATATAATCTACTCCTTTTCGATTTGGAAGTTTGTTAAAAATTACCACATCTAACAGAAGTAATGACATTAACATCAAACATGTCATTACAAAATAATGCATATAACAACCTCAGACATGTTACTACACCTGTTTTTCTTGCAAAGATTCGTATTTTAAATAGTTCGGTTTGTGAATGTGGAATTGAAGAAGGTACCACTGATCACATTTTTTTTAACTGTCAGAAGTATCCGTCCTTATATAATCAACTCCCACCTAAAACTCCCCGTCCAGTTAAGCCCCCTGTAAACGATCAAACTTGCTTGACAAATTTGCTTGTCAAACTTTACGTTTTCATCAATTAACAGCGCATACGATCAAGCCAAAGATCAAACAAATTTGTTTAGTTTCGGTTTACTTTGTTATTTTCGCGCTTAAAACATGTACGTAGAATATTAATCTTTTTTTTCTTTTCATCCGTAATGTTCCGGCGATACATTTTCAGTAAATTAGTAATTTTTTTTAAACGCTATTTCTTCTTTTGTTCTTGTCCATATAATCTTTAGATTTTACTTTCCATAGATTCAGCATATCACGATAAATAGATATGAAATGCAAGGTAAATTCTTTATCCGTAATAATATCGTCACTTTCCATTGTATTTTTTTATTTGGCGTACCTACCGTCTTCCAAGATGCAACACAACGACTGACATCCTGCTTGACAAACACCACCGTTCACGTACAAACTTGTTTGTCAAGCACGACTTCAATCTAAATTTTCATCAAACACGTCAAACACGTAGATTTTTTGACAAGCGCATCAAGCGTAGCTGCACATTATCAAAAAGTTTGTCAAGCACGTAAAGTTTGACAAGCAGTTTGATCGTTTACATGGCACTTAACTCTCCTCTTACTATTTTTGACAAACCTGGCTTTCTACGTCTTTGCAAATTTATTGAAAAACATAATATCAAATTATAAAAATAAGTGTTGCAAAATTCTCTTTTATGTATTTAAATACCGTAATTATAGTGTTATTTGCTTTTGTGTTGTCCTTTTATGTATTTAAATTATTGTAGTTATAGTGATTTGCTCTTGTGTTGTTTTTTTTTAGTAGAGAAAAAACAATCTCAAGGAAGAATCGTTCGGTCTGTTGAGTCACGTGTCTCTCTCACTCACTCTCACTACGGAATGTTGGCAAAATTTCCGTGTATAACAGAACAAGTCCATATAAAAAAAAAAACAACCTCAGATTATTTAATATCATAATCTAAGAACACCTACAATAAATAAAAAAACGGTTTATCAATAAAATGTTGACCAATATTTTTATTATTGTTTATATGTTTAATGAAACATTTCTTGTTTATTTTAATAAAAGAAAATAAACATTAATTGCTAAAATCAATAAACATTTGTATAGCTATGGCTAGCTAGAGTTAGGCGGTTGCAGACCGAAAAAAAATCTTAGATTATAAAGAGGATTGAAGACTGATTTTATGGAAAATAGTCAAATAAAACTTAGAATAAAAATTACACTATCCAAATATATATATTCCATACATAGTATAAAGTCACTTCCCGCTCTCTGTATGCTGACATTTTTTAAGTAACAACAAATTTAATGCAATTTTCAACAACAGATAGTGATTCAGAAGGTAGGTTTATATGTTTAATATAGGATCACATAGGCGAAGCTGCTGGTGGAAATCTTACATGATATCTAAATTGGAAGATTTTAAAGGTAGGTAATAAGATTAAAGGAAGCAGTCAGATAAGAATGAGGAACCCTTCCGGTTTTCTTTTATAAATAGATTAGTAGCCAAGGACTGTAAGGCATCAATTGCAGCCCGAGATATTTAGAGCACGAGCGCAGCGAGGGCGCCTATAGTTCAAGGGTGCAATTGATGCTTACACACGAGCTAACTACACTGCTTTACATTGTAAGGCAAGTACAAAAAAAGAGCCATTACAAAATAAAACATTTTATTAGTTATAATATCTCTTTAGAAGTTTCAAACAAAATATTGTTAATTGCTGCTTCAGCTTCCATTTTCATTAAATCGGGAGTGCAGCTTATATCATCATCCCTTGAAGAACTCATGTTTTTTCCTAATTTGCACGTTATTAAGAAAACATCCCAAAAACATAAAATAATTAAATTAAGTTTTCTGTTCTTGCCTTTTTTTTTCATTATAAAGAGCCAATATATTACATTACTCTTTGGAGTCAATTAAAGTACTATTTACTTTTTTTTTCAAGAACTAAATAGAGCTCCTTTCGATATTTAAAATAGGGTATTTGACACTATCGAAAATAAGTTGCATTTTGTGGTCATCCTGATAGATAATAATCTAATAAAGCTTATTTCTTAACATCTGCAGAAAAAACATGTTTAGATTTAGTAAAATAACGTAAAGAAAATGCAATATTTTTAGGAATTTATTCAACGACGAAAACGTCCTATAATTGGTCGTCGTCACAACCAATCACGATTCTGTTTACTGGCCTGTGACGTCATCAGCTGTCATGTCAAAGTAGTGTTAGAAAGATACATAAAATATCGATGCCTGTAGGTATCGAGTACTTTATAGTAATTTACTGATAACAGAATACTTTGCCGCTTCTATTGATAAGAACTGCCAAAAAGAAATACAGAAAAAAAGAATCATTTACTAAGCTTTTTAAAAAATCCAAGAAATAGGGAAAACGCCAGCAATTTAAAAAAAGAGCAACTTACATGTTTTTCTCATTTCTTGAACTTTACTATAATAATTCAAAGTACAAAGTCGATTTTGATGATATATAGTGTTCTCCAAGTTAAAAACTAATGAAAAAAAATCATCGGTATCTGATATCTAATTATCAAATGCCATGCATCTGGACAGACATACTACATGCATGTATAAAAAAATAGAATATTCTTTTTCGTACTAATGTCTCATCCATCTGTAGGTCGACAGGCTGTAAAGTGCGAGCCCTGTCAACAAATATAAATGAGTCGTAAAATGTTAATGACAAAGAAAAAAACCAAAAAGAAAACCTTCAAATGTATCGATATGAAATAAAAAAGTTTCAATACTTTTAGCGAATCCTTACCTAATTTTATCAACCATCTCTACTCTATATAGCTACTATACTATTGTGATTGTGAATCTATTTTCTTCTAGACTCGAAATTTGTTTGTTATTTATAGAAGTATTAGTACATTGTGGCACTACGCACCACTTGTAGCTCACTTTTTAAAGAAAACCAGAGCAGAGGAAAATAAAAAACGTAAAAAATACGCTCTACGACTTCAATTTCTGTTTTAAATTATTATTTCAATTTACTATAGGGATGATCGATATTGTGATGAATTCACGTTCCTGCAGGTCTTCCGCTTTATTACTTGCAGAAACTATGCCTTGTTTTAAGCAAATAAAACACTTTAGGTGTTCATCTGGTGGTGCATTTAGGTGTGTATCTACGAAGACATTTTTATTGAATTAGAAAAAACAATAACCTACGACATTGTCATAAGTTATTGAGTAGCTCGGTGGCGTAGTGGATAAGCGCCGCGGCCCGCGATCGTAGTCGTTAAGCAACTTTCGCATGGGTCGGTCACGGGATGAGTGACCAAAAAAATTATTATCTCGAGCTACTCCGTGCTTCGGAAGGCACGTTAAGCCGTTGGTCCCGGCAGCATTTGCAGTCGTTAATACCCTCCAATCCGCATTGGGTCAGCGTGGAGGGTCATGGCCCATCCTCCTTAACCATCCATAAGGAAGGCCTGAGCCACTGCAGTGGGGACGTTAAAGGGCTGATGATGATGATGATGATGACATTGTCAATAAAATTTGAAATTTATTACTTATTTATTATTTACTGAAATGAGGTTTGATTCACAACAGATATTCCTCGATGTTGAATAAACATCGATGTTTTGTCGTTTGTGTTTTAAATTGGAAAACATCGGCACATCGATGTTTTCGTGCCAAACATCAATGTTTATGAATAAAATGTCAAGATACCCTTTAGGCCATCTAACCTGCTCCAGATGTACAAGCTAGATGATCTCGTATATAAAGTTCAACTATTTTATACTACATGTCACCGGTTGCACTCGTAATTGGAGTACGCAAACAAATAGTTTTTTCGTTGCTTGCATTTTCCTAGGAAATTAGAAATAAATCTGTCAACTTTAGCGCTCGTTTGTATCTTATAAGTTACTTTATTCACCGGTTTTAGTTTCAAAGATACATTAGATAGTTCCACGTGCGAGTGGTCCAAAAGGTACCACTGATCCCATCCTCTTCAACTGTCTGAAACAACCTACTTCATATGAGCAAGTTCCATCTAAAACCCCCCATCCCATTAACCTTAATATTATCTTGTCTATTTCTAACATACCTATCTTTTTGCGTCTTGTAAGCATATTAAAAAATATAACAATACACTAAAATCTACATGGCACTTTCATATATTTATTGCGATATTTTTTATTTAATTTACTAGTACAATTTGTGACGTTTGCTTTGTGTTGTACTTTTAGAACAAGAGAGGAAAAAGCTATTAAAAACAGTTTCTCACTATCCCGCAAAATTTCTGTGTAAAACGGAAAAAGGTCATTTATGTAAAAAAAAAAGTTACTTTATGCTCGTTGGGCTCGTTCTCTCTCCGTGAAACTCCCGCGTGATTTTTTATGACACTTGTCTTATTCCATTACTTTTATGTTAAGGGGTAGAATCCACCTATCCCACATTAAAAAAGATTGCATTAAAATATTTACTTCTACGGCGTCAGAGAGGCTTTTTTCTAAAGCTGGTCAATTCCTTTAACAGCAACGCAATCGATATTTGGGAAACATCGATGGTTTTCATCGAATGTTGACTTCGATGGCAATATCGATGTTTTTCCAATATCGACCATCCCTAATTTACTCTAAAGACAGTTGTTACTTATGGATTTGACATATTTACTGGCCTGTGACGTCACGATCAGCACCATTACATAGAGCAGCGTCTTTCGCGCGCTTTTGGCTATTTAAATTTTAACAATTATTTTCATCAAATATAGAAAAGATTCCAATGAAATATTATGACAGTGTGTTTATAATGTAGCAAACAATTTAAAATAGTTTTCAGAAAAGTATCAAATACCCTATTGACTGTACTCTATGATTATACTCATATGAAGACAAGGCTAAATAGCGAAGAGGTAATTGAGTTGAATGCAAAATGTCTATTACCAATATATCTATTACCATACGTGAACTTTTTGAAAGAGTGTTTTTTTTTTAAATTACTAACCGTCACAGCGCTTGTCTAGCTGCATTATTACCCTAGAGCGCTTATTGGTCACCTAAAAGCCCCATTTGGGGTTAATAAGGACCTACTTATCCAAGATGAGGGATATAAAGTAAATTAATTTTCAAAACTCAATAAACAACTCGTATTCAACTTGTACTTTTTCGTATTTGTCAAAGACTACAGTGGTATTTGTATTAATATCTAAGGTTTTAACTTTGCAAATGTCAGCTTTTTAATGTTAGTTAAAGCGAACGGAAATGATTATCTTTGGTCCATTTGTTTCCTGCAAAAAACAACTTTGCTAGAGTCGCCATCTCGTGGGGTGCTTTTTCAGTGCTTTTTTAAATACCCATTACATTAACCAATTATACATAATACTTTGAAAATAACAAAACAAGAGAGATTTATGTATTTTCTAAATAAATAAATCAGGGGTCTAAAATGAAATTCCCGTATAAAACTGTTAAATTAAAATTTGTCATTTAAAAAAAGCTTTGAAAAATGAAATGTATCTGAATCATAATATTAGGTCCTTATATATGAAATTGACTTGTTGTCGTAGTGGCCACTTTAATCACAAATTTCTCCTTCTTGGTTGGGAATTCTAAATTGAAATTTATACAGCTATTTACACATGTATTTGTGTTTCGTTACGCGGCATTCATTTGTTTTTTTTTTCTGTTTGTTCTATTTACGTCACCAAGTACAAAAATTGGTAACCTTGAAAAATCGCATTATTTACGAGTACAAGTTCCACCGTGGTACCAGTGCTGCGAAAATGTCAATGATGTGGATAGCGGTTGTGTCGCAAAATAAAACACAGTGCGTTTTTGGTTCCAACGTTTTCGTTCTGGAAATTTCGACCTGCACAACAAGCTCCGTGGATGGTCGGAGACCCAAGTTAATAATGAAGAATAGAAGGCTATTGTGAAAGTGGATCCATCGCAAACCACGTCCGAGTTAGCTGCTGATTGCGGTGTTAGTGATAAAACTGTTTTAATCCACTTGAAGCAAATTGGAAAGTATAAAAAGCTTGGAGTGAAGCAAACTGGCAAACGCGCTTCGACTGCTGCGTTACATTACCTTAACCGGCACAATAATGAAGGGTTTTTAAATCGAATCATTACCTGTGATGAAAATTGGATTCTCTACGATAATCGGAAGCGCTCATCGCAATGGTTGGACCCGGGCATGGCAGCCAAATCCTGCCCCAAGCGAAAATGACCCCAAAATAGTTACTTGTAATCGTTTGGTAGACTAGTGCCGGTGTCGATCATTACATTTTTCTCAAATCTGGCCAGATGATTACGACAGACATCTTTTGTCAGCAATTGCAAACCATACTGGAAATATTAGCTGTTAAACAACCGAGGCTGGTCAATCGCTCTACGTCATTGCTACTTCATGACAATGCTAAACCACACACTGCACAACAGACGGCTACCAAATTAGAAGAGCTTCAATTGGAATGTCTAAGACATCCACCATACTCCCCGAACCTTGCTCCAACAGATTACTATTTTTCAAAATTTGAATAACTTCTTGAAAGGGAAAAAATTCAACACCGATGGGGCAGTGCAAATCGCCTTCAAAGATTTTATTGATTCCCATCCGAATAGTTTTTTGTTTGTAAGGGGATCAATGAGCTACCTATGTGGTGGAAAAAGTGCATAGATAACAATGGTTTATGCTTCGACTTTTTGTTCCTCCCATACCAAACACCGATTTCATATGTAAGGACCTAATAAGTAACATACAATTTAACTATTTTAGACGCCCTGGTTTTCCATCACACATAATATTTTCATTTTAGTTCAGCGCGCACTGAAGCCATAAAGAAGTAGTGGAAGTTAGAAACTACCGTTTTGATAGGATTTTAAATATTGGCGATAGTGTTGTAATGGTCACTAGTTTTCAACGTGTTGTTGTTATTATACAATAGTTATTTTTTTTCTTAAAAATTTTAATTGACTTTAAATGTTACGTTTACGTGATATTTATATATATATATATATATATCAAGTTGCGATATATATGTAAATATCAACTTGATTTCTTATGTCGCAATCTTGATGCCTCAAATTAAAAAAAAAAGTTGAATATCTGCCTGAGTGAAAACAAGCTAATGGCGAACTTTTATACACCCAAAACTTTTGGCCCGAGAAACGTGACGGTTAGTGTAGACAAAGCATTTCACGATCTTGTTGTTCTTTGCGTGCTGCTTTTAAAGACAGTCTGGTCACAATGGGAAAATATCTTATTGCCACTTCAAATAGATTGTGATTAAATTGGAAATACACATTATTGAGAAATTAAGTAAAGTTTACTACAAATTTTAAAACAAAAAACTAGTGTTACAAAGTAATATTACACCTGTTACTAACGTGTATCACATGTGAAAATTCCGTTAGATGTCAAAATGTAACAGCCATTTGTACAAACGTCCATTATAATTGTTATTAGTTTAAAGCGAAATTACTGCTACAAATTTGCCGTTCATTAGAGTTTAAATGCGTCATTAAATCTTAATGGGCGTTTGTGCAACTCACCGTATATGTTGTGTTTTTAGATATCAATTATCGATATCGCTGTTTCTTCAATATCGATATTTTAAGCGTAGACGAATATGTATGCCAATCTGTTATGTATGATTGGGAATTTTCCGCGGTATAATGGTCCTAAAATTATGAGTTCTAAATGTATGCTATAAGTAGGTAAATGCCAAACGATTTATGGCAAAAGGAAGTTTATGCCATTTGCTTTTCGTATTTAAGGAAAAGCAGATAGAGATTCTGCTTATATGAACTAACATAGCATACTTATGTTAATTTTGATAGCGACACCTTCTTTTAAGTCAATAATCTTTCTTTTTCCAATACTTATTTATAGTACAAAATCTGCAAGTTGCAGAAGAATAAGTAAATATTCTTTATATAAATTTGAAATGGGATTGAGCATTACAAGAAATATTGAAATTTGGAAATGGCTTTTTATACCTTTGAAATGAAATAAAATGAAAATATCTTTATTCAAGTAGGCTATTACAAGCACTTTTGAATCATCCAAAAAACTTTTTTCCCCTACCACTTGTTCAGGACGTCTTTTAGCTGACAAGAAGAACAAGCGAAAGAAACTTACCAGCTTTTTATCATAAGTTATGAAATGACATTTACATAAATCATGTCATTACCAAAATAATATGTATTATCACAATAGTAAATACAACTTTCAAAGTCTGTATGACATAGGTTGAACATATAATTAGAACAAAGTGAAGGCTATTAATTCCATGCATTGCGATCCTTAAAATAATCATCAACTTTATAATAGCCTTTACTCATAAGTATATTCTTTACATGAATTTGAAATTTATTTATGGGTAGGTCAATTACATTTTGTGGAACTTTACTGAACATAGCAATACATTTACCCAGAAATGATCCTCTGGTTTTTTGAAGTCTGAAAGCTTGGAACGGCAAGTTTATCTTTATTTTTTGTGTTAAGATTATGAACACTACTTTTTTTTTGTGAAGGAATCGTAATGTTTTCTTGTGTACATAATGTTCTCATAGATGTATTGAGAGGCAACAGTCAGAATATTTATTTCTTTAAATATTTCTCTGAGAGATTCCCTAGACCGTAAATTATATATAGCACGGACAGCTCTCTTTTGTAAAATAAAAATATCCTGAATGCTAGCCGCAGAACCCCATAACAATATACCATACGTCTTAGCCTCATACCTACCTTAGCAAGAAACTTATTTAAAAAACGTTAGATGCTAATTTATCTTTTATGCTATAACGACGTTTTTTGTAATATAATAACCACCGCATCTCTAAATCGTACGACCGACGTCAAGGAATTTTGTCAATTAACTCAAAACGTCATCTAATACAAAAAGACAAAAAGAATTGTAAATGTAATTCAATCAATCAATAGAGGCAGACTTGTGAAATAAATGTAGTTACGGTTTAAAATGTTGTGAATAGAAATAAAGTTTACAGGCAAAAGTTTTTAGTATGTTTTTATGACATCTCTTTTCGGTAAGATCTCAGCAGATATTTATAAAGTGTTCTGCGTCACAATTCCCAAACAAAACAACTGTTTTATTTCTCTGTTTACAGTTTTAGGACACGAGATGTCGAAAGCTGTTATTATTCCCGAGTGTTCAAAGGATATAAGAGGTTTGCAAGAGGAGATATCTATATCACCAACTGAAAAGAAAGATGGAACAATCGGTTTAATTAGCAGATTGTTACGATTGGATTCTTTGAAAAGAAGTACTGTTCCCGAAAGCCCGACAGCGACCGAGCCCCCATGTACTTATTATGGCGTTTATATTCCTTGTGAAATCAAAAAAGGGCCAGATGAAGGTATATTGTGTTTTTTTTTACTTCATTATGAATGTTATCACTATTTATACACAAATCTTGAGATAGGATATGCAAATCTATGTAGGTCAATGTAGATTAGATAATTTGCTAAGTATTTTTTATGAATTTTTTATTTTTTATTGTTTTATATGTTAGTTCTAAAGCTATCCACTTACTCAAAAATTTAACTAAATGGTGACCATTTAATAAACTTTTGTAGTCCTCTAGGTCTAATGAATTTGAATTCCAAGCAAGGTATCACTTTGAACATGAAGATTCCAGAGTGTGAAAAAACTGTGATCCCTTTGTGTTCAAATTCCACATTGGTTAATAAAATTCTAAACATTTTTTATATGTTAATAATGTATATGTATTTTTTTAGTTTAAAACATATATGTCCAAGGCAAGAGCAACTGAAGTTTGTATATTTTTTATAAGATTAATAATATGAAATAATTTGTAGTTGATTACTTGTAAATTAAATAAGCAAATCTGCTTATCTGTGGTGTATGTAAACTTTAGTTTATTTTTTAAAAATATACTATTGACCTTACACTAACTGAGTTGGGTAATAGAAAGCATGTTTAAAAGGCTAAATTCAAATAGGATCATTTTAATAAACTGCTACTACTGCTAGTTTAGAGTTCTCATAAAATGTTCAGTTAGTGTAGAGATTGCAAAAATATTTAACTAATGTATATTTGTACAACAACACTAAACAGGAACAGAAAGAAACTTATTAAAAGTGCTTTTAAATCATTCAACATTTTTCAATGAACCTTCTATTTAGGATGTCTTTTGGCTGATAAGAAAACTCATATTGCACATAATTCATGTAACGGAAAATTATTCAAAATCATCATTTGCTCTTTGCCCTGAATATATATGTGTTTGATTTACACTTAAAAAAATATGTCAATAAAATTTTGTGCATTTTTTGTCACCCAGGTGATTTGAGAACACAAAAATGTGGAATTTGAATACCCGGTCGATCAAAGTGGAATAAACTGAAAAAATCTGATTATTTGGTGTATTATCTACCTTTATCAAAAATATTTTTTTTTCTATTATATAATGATATGTAGGTATTAGGAATGCTCATTTAGAGCAGATATTTAAAACATATATAACATATTCATTTATGTATTCCTATTTGTCTATTTAAGTAATATGTTGATTGCAAATGTTGTGGTTTACTTAAATTTAAAATACAACTGGTGTTATCTAGTGATGGCTATATAAAATCAAGCTCTAATCTATGACATTAATACATATTTGGGTAACATATATATTAAAAAAAAACCTATAACAAACCAATAGAAAACCTGGAACATTCTATAGAATATACATTAGGCTTCTCTCATTTCTAGTTTTAAGCTGTGTCACCCCCTTTCAAGGATCGAGAAATAGAACAATCTTATTCATTAACTAGCAAACAACAACATTGAGCATACCTCATGTGTTCATAAGTTTTGAGACAAAATAAGACTTGTGTACCTTTTTTAATAATTAAGCAATATTTCTAAAATTTTCAGTAACCATTAAATAGATAATAATCAACAATAAAATAAATATTTTATTGAAAATTACCACCCTTGTTTTTAATACAGGCTCTTAGACAATTTGTCCATTCATCAATGGCGGCATGAATATTTTCTGGTGGAATTCTTGAACAAGGGTTCGCTTCAGTGACCCTAAGTTTGGGTGGGACTTTCGGCAGGCCCTGAGTTCTAAAAATAATAATCCAGCCGTTTGAAGTCGATGCTGGAGGGCCACTTGTCCGCCTCGGTGAAGGCTGGCACAGACCCCCTCAACCAAGTTTGCCTTATACCTTTAATAACGTATCAGATTGGGGTTTCACCACGGGCTCTAAAATGTCACAGATAATTCTTGGCTTTCACCTTGACACCATGTTGGCAGAAATAGAGCGAAGTGACACCTTCATACGAAACTCCCCACCATACCATCACACTAGCCGGATGATGAGTGCGCGAGACATTCCGTGCAAAAGCTGGGACATCCTTGCTACTTTAAGTGTACACTTTTTTGTTTTGTCCATTGAACTTTTCTTCGACAGTAAAAATGATCTCGTCAGTGAAGAGTATCTTCCTGGCATCATGTCTCCTCAGCAGCAATGGACAACGTTCGCGTCGTAACTTACAAAGACGATCATTTAAAAAGTGAACATTTCTACGGCTATAGGCCTCTACCTTAAGATTAGTCTGCAGAGCGAGTTTCTTCTGAGTGCGACATGAATTTCGGTGAAGTCGCCCTCGAATGATTTTGATGGTTGCAGGCGTCGCAGGCGCTGAAAATCTGCATCGATTTTTTTCCCGCCTTAAATAGCGAAAATTATAGTTGCACGTAATTGTTTCGTTCCCTACATCACAAGAATATATAAACAAATGAATTTGCGATACAAATAAACTAAAAGTTAACATTCCAAATTCAAAATCCGTAAAAAAATAACAGCCAGTACAGTAACATTTTATTTTTTCAGTAAAAAGTTTGTCTCAAAACTTATGAACACACAAGGTAGAAGCAAATTTGTTATTTACTTAATAAATAAAAATAGCGTTTATTCTCTGACCATCTTCTATAATACTATATATACATTATATATCTATTTTATTCTGTTCCATTCTACTTGTCTGAATATTTCTACAAATACAGCCGAGAACAGTTTTGGCGATAGATGGTCACTCTGTCTTACACTCCTGTTAATAGGAAACTATTCTCCAACTCTCTCCAGATAAGTCTTTTGAAGTACTGTTGTTGTAGATTTGTTGGATAATTCTGATATATTTGTTCTCTATTCTTAAGTTCTTCAAGGCTTTATAAATAGATTGTTGGTATTAAGAGTCAAAGGCATTGGTTGTAATCCACATAAGCTATATATAGTGGTTTTCTGTATTGATAGTATTTTTCTAGAAGTTGGTTAATAACATGTAAATGATCAATTGTAGAAAAATCAATTCTAAATCCAGCCGGCTCTTTTGGCTGTTGTTCATCTAGGCGCTTGTTGAGTCGTTCTAGAATGATTTTGGAGAATATTTTAATAAATATTAGTCATAATACTTATTGGTCTATAGTTGGTAATTTTGTTTTTTTTTTTTAATAGTATTATTGTTGTTTTTGACCATTGTAAGGGTATCTGCTTTTCTTGTATTATTTGGTTAAAAACGTCCGTAAGTGGTTGTAATTTTATGTCTATAGTCCTTTGCACTAATTCGTTTGATATATTGTTTTCTCCTGTTGCTTTCTCGTCTTTCTGAGAGGTGATTGCTTTTCTAATTTCTTATGAAATGATACTTTGAATCTTCATCGTTCTGGTCGTAGTATGTTTGATTTGAATGGATATTTTCATAGTTCCAATAAAGTTGACTATAATATCAAATGCCTTTTTTAAGTGGAATTTTCTTTGGCTTGTCTGTCATTATTTTTCAAATTAGGAATCCAATTTTTGTGTTCTTTTACATGTTTTAGAGCTCTTTTTATATCACCCTTTTTTCTGTGTAATGTTTTATAGTTTCTAATTATGTTGTTTTCCTGTGTTACCTTACGCTTTCAGAAATTGCCGTACTTATTGCTTTGATCTCTTTGACCTTATTTTTTCTATTTTGGAATAAAATACTTCTTTCGTTTATTAGTTGTCTAACTTCAGTACCTATCTTGTCGGGACTCTTGTTTTCAGTTTTTTTAACAATTTGGTAAGTGTATTTTCGAATTTGTTGTACTTTTCTTGTATATTTGCTACATCGTTTATTTGGATAGCATTTTTGTTAAATACTGTTAACAAACTCCCTTCGATGTATGTTTTATGTAAGGATTTTTGTAGAATTTCCTTGGTTTTTTTAAGTTTATTATATTAAGAGTTCCTCTTATCATTCGATGGTTGGTACTGAAGTTTAATCTATTTATTACATCCACATTTTCATAGTAGTAGAAGAAATTCGTAAGTATAAAGTCTATTGTATTCTTGTATTTACCATCTAGCGAATGCCAGATCCATCTACGTGACGATGTTTTTTTCTTGTAGATAGTGTTCATTCAAATTAAGTTCCATTTCAAAATCTAGTAAGCTTTGACCGTTGTTGATGCCTATACTTGCCCATGATATGTTGTTCTTTGCCAAGTATTATGCTTAATTGACTATTGAAGTCTCCCATTATTATTCTATTTTTGTAACACTATCCAATTGTGTCTTACAATAAATCATAAAACTTGTCTTTTTCCTCTTCACTAGCCTGCTCAGAGGGCACGTAGATTTGGACTATTGACCAAGGCTCCTTGCTACCAGATAGTGCAATGTTTAGGACATAAAATATGTAGTCTTTGTATTCCCTTATTTCTTCGCCTGTACTTCTTACTTCGCTTAGTCTCAATATATCGCAGTTGACAGTTTCTAATGCTACCTCAAGTTCTGTAAGCCTTTCTTCCGTTCTCAGTATATGTGTATTGAGTGTTAGTATTGCAGTGTTATGTTCTCTCTATGTGGTGGCATTATAGAGGGCAGTGGTCTGTAGTCCCTTCGTGACCAGCCGTGTTAGGACCTTATTGCGTTGTTGCTTTTTTGTTTATTGTGTAGTTTCAGTAATGTTATAAGTTACTATAAGTTATTTACTTAAAAATAAATAATTAAAAATATTTGCAGTAATTTTTGGGTTTATTGCATAAAAACTATAGTAACTATAGTAACTCGAACTAACTGCTGTAACATTCCCCTACTACAGCAGTTAAGTTTATAAGAAAAAAAAAACAGTTACTCTAGTTTTCTGGAATACAGTTGATGTGTATTTTTCTGTTATGTCCTTACAATAACTGATAGTTTTACCGATCCCACAGAAGCCTTACATGTATACAAGAACAAAACGGAGGCGCTGGAACTAGTGCGACGTTACAAACTAGCACGTTTTAAGGCTTTTCACAACCGTCATGATGCCGTCTCATTCGCATTGAGGGGTGCCGAACCAGTTGATGCACATGATGGAAATGATAATTGTGAGTATTAGAAAGACGTAATATATGTACCTATAGACACTGGAAAGACTAATAATGTTGGTGATATTGAGTTATAATTGGAATCGGGAATTTTAATTTATTTGTTTTGGTTAGATATCAAATTATTAAGAACACTTTTGGGAAAATTGAAATTAATAAATAAAAAATAGTTTTTTGCAGTTCTGTAGCCCATTTTTCAATATATTATAGCATTTAATGATTTATTAGTATTGGATCAGTTTTACATTTATAATGCTACATTTAATACTTTAAAGATATTTGCTTAAAAAAGTCATCAGTCCCAGTTACCCAGTGGATAATATTGCGTTTAGGTTATATTTACTTTATTGTTTGAGATGCACTAACATTATATAAATTGTACATTATACTTAACATGTACCAGGTTACTTTATAAATCTATATGTCAGTAAATTGTACACAGCGTTCATAAAAAAGCAAAGAAACCGGTGTCAATTCTGTTGGTACAAATCAGAATAAAGTTATTTCCAATTCCATCAACACAGGTTATATAAATAATATATGCTTATATAGATTTCATCTGCTTTGGACATTATTGATACTTGAACTACTTTATTCCACTCTAGAAAAATACACTTTCGTTTAAGTGTTGTCACTTTTTATAAAATATGGACAAAATTAATATAACTTCATATTTATTTATCACTGTATTAATTTGATAAATGTCTACTGGATAGCTTTTGAGATAAAAAAGCTTTGATTATATCTCATATTCTTCACATTACACTGTGTTATATAGATTAATATTCTTATGGCATTATGAATGTAAAGTAAATTATGCAGTAAATATAATAAAAACAAAAAATCAACCTACATCCACTAAATGTTCTGAATTTAGTAGTTAAAGTAAAAATTATCAATAGTTCCTTCTATTTAAGTAGTACAGAAGTTTGATAAGTGATTTAACAAACGTAAGATCATTAACCGAGCTGTGTTATCGCTTCAACCTATAATTGTTATCGAACATTGGGTAATCTTTTCTTTACTCAGTAATTTAGAAGTGTTTGTATACCTAACCTTATTAAGTTTGTTTTTGTAACTAGTTCTATCCTATATATCCAAATGTGAAAGGGGGATGTATCTATGTTTGTTACTATTTACTCTTTGTTGATTATTTTGATGAAAATTTGTATACGGACAGTTCTAATACTGAATTATATACATTTGCTACTTTTTATCCCACTAATCGGTCCCTAAGTGATAAATATACTACTAAGTCATTCTGTAAACCACGCGGATGAAACCGCTGGCAGAGAGCTATTATATTAAATTGATCATCGTCATACGAGGGTCAAACTGAAAGTTCTTAGAAAATCAAAAACTGATTACATTAGCCAGTTATTAGTTTTATTATATCTTTTCAAAATATTGTCCATTCACGTCAATACACCGCTGCATGCGATGGAACCACTGGGAAAAGCACTTTGCCCACTCGTCCTTAGGGGTCTCTTCAATGGCATCGCGATACGCAGCCACCGCTTCTTCAGCATTCATAAACCGCTTTCCTTTAAGTTTTTCTTTAATTTTTGGAAATAAATAAAAATCACAAGGCGCGAGGTCGGGGCTATACGACGGGTGACCCAGTAATTCAACGTTTGATGTCGCCAAATAGTCGATCGTTCGCTTGGCGGTGTGCGACGAGGCGTTGTCGTGGTGAAGGAGGATCCTACTGCGAGGTCGTTTCTCTCGAACTTTTTCCAAGACAAGTGGCAAACAATTGGTAGTGTACCATTCTGCAGAAACTGTTTTTTGATCCTCTAACACAATTGTTGCAAAATGACCTATCCTTCCAAAGAACGAGGCCACCATTTTTTTTCCCGCACTTCGATCTCTCTTCACTTTAGTTGGCAACTCCTCGAAAGGAAACACCCACTGAGCAGATTGTCTTTTGGTTTTAGGATCATAACAGTAAATCCAGCTTTCGTCACCTGTTAGTATGTCGAACACAGCATTTGAGTCACCTCCGTTAAATCTTTCAATCATTTTACGACACCAATCCACACGATGGAGTTTTTGAGCCTCAGTCAAATTATGAGGTATCCACCGGGCGCAAAGCTTCCTGACCGCTAAATGTTCGTGGAGGATTTTGTGCACTTGACTCATACCGATGCCTAAGCTTGTCCGAATCTGTTGATAGGTCACTCTTTTGTCAGTCTCTATCATACGCCGCACAACACAGATGTTATCTTCAGTCGTCGCCGTAGAAGGCCGTCCCTCACGTAAATCATCAGTGAGATTAGTGCGACCACGTTTAAACTCATTAAACCAGTTGTAAACAGTCGCACGAGATGGGGCTTCATCGTGAAAGGCCAATCGTAGTCTATCATAACTTTCTTGTTGACTTAAATGACATCGAAAGTCATAAAAAATCATTGCACGAAAATTTTCTCGTGTTAAATTCATGATGACGTGACACAGACAATTTTCAATTTGCCGCCAAATCGTAAAACAAATGACAAATGAATGAAATATATACTCAGTAATATTGGCAAAGAGTTATATTTTCAAATTTTAGAATTATTTTTTTATTATATTGTTTATAAGTGGCCAGTTCTAAGAACTTTCAGTTTGACCCTCGTATTAATGACACAAGCTTTCTCTATGGATAGAATCGAATAGGAAGAGTGGCCCATGACCCGGATTGGTGGATGCTAGCGAACTCCTTAACATGCCTTCCGATCTCTAGCACAGAACTCGAGATGATAATTATCGATTTCGATAATCACGATAAGCCCTTGCTTAACTTCCTCATAACACAGATCGTTCTCTGTTTTAATTACTAGGTAAAAGAAATGATAGATTTTGCTCGACTTGGCGGTGCCCCCAGGTCTGACCTAGAAGCTCTTTTCATGGAAATTAAATGATTGTAAATACACTCGCAAAATTTTACAATATTTATAATATTTTACTCTAAAGATTTTTTATATTTAGAATTTCTATGTAAAATAGAAAAAAGTCACAGTATAAATGAAAAAAGGGGGCCCATAGGGAAGGCTTTTTCTCTCTATTTACATCAAGATTGTGTTTAAACAATCTATTAAAAATATGGTATCTAAGATTTATTCTAAAGCGTGTTGAGTTATTACTTAAGATTTACAATGAAGACAGTTAGTATTGATGTTGACCTCTTTGACACCAAAAATTATGTTCGTTTACTTACGCAAGTTTTATGAAATATATATTTCTAAGTATATATAATGAAGACCTTGTCCGTGTTGTACCTTTTGCTTATGGTAGGTATTTACGTTAATTACCAAAGATGAGAGGTGAAGTTATTAAATACAAGATTTTCGCCTGCGATGAACTTTTTTATTATCTATTTTTCGCGATAAAAACTATCGTATATCCTTGCTTTAGGTCTACTCTAAATGTTTACCAAATTTCATTACAATTGGTTCAGTAGTTTGGCATTTATAATAGTATAGTATGGATCAAATTATGATTATATTATAGAGATATTACGTTTAATCAAAATAGGACTTTTTGGATTGTGAAATATAAGAAACTTATGTTATTGAGAATAATCAGTTGAGATTTTGTTATTTTTTCAATTCAGTAACTGCTCGTAAATCATGGAAGCTTTTAAAGTCTGAATGGCCTCTTCTCCTTGAAATCTAAATCTAAACTTCGAATCGCGGCAAATGTCGGTGACTCTCAGTTAGTACACTGTAGGGCGATATAAACGATTGTTAAGCATCTTTCGCAATGGCTGGCCATAGGATAGGTGACCAAAAATTCCGTGCTTCGGAAGGCACATTAAGCCGTTGGGTCCTTGTGGTGAATCATGGCACATTTTCCCTATTCATTTTTTTGCACGCCCTAGTAGTAGATATTAATAGGTTAATGTATTAATACAACACTAATTATAGATAGTAATAAAATCTTTGATCGATCGTAAACCGGACGCGCTTACCATCCTTCTAACTTACACGTAAATATTAATCATCGTATTTTATATTAACCTCAGGTGTTGTGGGAGAGAAGCCTTATCCATTCAAGGCACCATCGCCACAGGACATGGTGTCGCTCCGCAAGGCGATCGAGGCAGGTCTCACAGCCACAGTCAGTGAACGAGTTTGGGACAATCCCCGCTTCCTAGTCAGTAGTGGGAACACACCAGCCATATTACAGGTTAGTCAGATCAAAAAGATCATACTAAACAAAAAAATATCTAAAGATAGAACTTTTAAAATGTAAAAAAAAAACTTATATTAATACTTATCTTAAAAGCGACTTATTCAAGAAACTGCTATTAAAGTCGTGCGAAGGTGTTTTGTAGGTTATTAATTTAATGATAGTAGACGTAATACTAAATAGACTGTTTGCATTGTACAGGCTTCGAAGCTATTGGACCGATTATAAAATCTTTATCATATTAACATATAATTTACTCAGGCGGGCAAACAGCTAATTTGATAGAAATTGATTCACAATTCAAGAAGAAATCAATTAACATATCCTATATATATAGCCTATATATATTAACATGAAAAATATAAAATCCTCCTTTCGGAGAGAGAGAACGACGTATTTTGAAGTAATGCAAAATACACAATCTTTTTTTTTCGTTGCTGTAAATATATCATCTAAATATTTAAGTGATATTTTATGAAAAGCATATTTTGTTTTGTTTTAAAAATAAAACTACTGATTCGATTTCTATAATATTTAAATGGGATGATCGGTCGGATTAAACTATCTTATAAAAAAAATTGAATATAGGTCAACAATTGGCGGAAAAATACATCGATTTTGAAGTCTGTTGAAAATAACAGTAGATGATAAAAAAATTATTTTGTTAAGTCGTAAGCACGTCAGCAGTAGCTTCACCACGTAACTGTAGTTCTGATTGGTATGTCTTTCCAATCCTAGACCAATCCTGATTAGTCTGCTAAATGCAAATATTTTACCCAGACCGATTAGGGCAGTTTGACAGTCGCCAGCATTCAGAATCGGGGCTTTAGTTATGTGACTCGTCACTCGCCTGTGATGTATCTCTGTTGCCTTCGATTTGATTGATTGCGGTTTCTATCAAAACGCAGTCATTGTTCTATGTTGTTTTAAAAGATACAGGGTGAATGTTTAACTCACTCAACATTCAATGTAATTAATTTTGAATTAGATTGACAATTTAATTCAAAATTAATTGCACAAAGGCTTTTTGTAGTACAATCATATGTTGCAGTATGTACAAACTAGTAATGTAACAAGTGTCATTTTTTAACATAGCGAATGTGAATATCTGGAACCCACTTTGCGGATGCGAAAATCTACTATCAATATCACGAATTCGACTGCGAATATTTACTAACGACATCACTATTTTTTAAAAGAACTATTTAAAATCAAAAGTTTTTATAACACAACTGACATTGCCGTGTATGACAAAAAAAAATTAAAATGAATTTTATGACGAAAAAATAAATAATTTTTATGACAAAAAAATTAATAAATTTGAATATGACAATTATATAAAACATTTGTATTATGTAGTTATTGTGTCTTCTATTAAGATTATGATTTCTTTTTGTATTCTGGCCATAGATTTAATTCTGTCATTTTTAATGACTAAATTATATTTATTCACATTAGTGATTGTAAATGTTAATATTATGTGATAAAATATCTGTGACAATTATAATTTAATTTTTCTATTAGATTAAATTATTATTATATGATAACGTTTTTTAATCTGGATTATTAATAATTTGATTATTTAAGAAATCACTTTTTCACTAACGTATACTAACTACTAACGTGCACTGTATTGACTCAAGATAAATAAGTATGAGTATGAATTCGAATGCGAATATCTACCATCGAAATAGTCGATGCGAATGCAAATATCTACTAACACCATCGCGAATGCGCTTGCGAACTCTATCTATTATTTTCTACCGACATCGCAGATGCAAATGTGAATATCTACTACTGACATTGTGAATGCAAATATATACTATCACCATGGTGTATGCGAATATCTACTATCACCATCGCGTATGCGAATGCAAATATCTACTACTGACATTGTGAATGCAAATATCTACCATCGTCTTCACGTATACGAATGCAAATATATACTATCACCATCGCGTATGCGAATATATACTATCACCATCACGTAAGCGAATGCAAATATCTACTATCGTCTTCACGTATACGAATGCAAATATATACTATCACCATCCCGTATATGAATATATACTATCACCATCACGTATGCGAATATATACTATCACCATCACGTATGCGAATATCTACTATCACCATCGCGTATGCGAATGCAAATATCTACCATCGTCTTCACGTATACGAATGCAAATATATACTATCACCATCCCGTATGTGAATATATACTATCACCATCACGTATGCGAATATATACTATCACCATCACGTATGCGAATATCTACTATCACCATCGCGTATGCGAATGCAAATATCTACCATCGTCTTCACGTATACGAATGCAAATATATACTATCACCATCCCGTATGTGAATATATACTATCACCATCACGTATGCGAATATATACTATCACCATCACGTATGCGAATATCTACTATCACCATCGCGTATGCGAATGCAAATATCTACCATCGTCTTCACGTATACGAATGCAAATATATACTATCACCATCGCGTATGCGAATATATACTATCACCATCACGTATGCGAATATCTACTATCACCATCGCGTATGCGAATGCAAATATCTACCATCGTCTTCACGTATACGAATGCAAATATATACTATCACCATCGCGTATGCGAATATATACTATCACCATCACGTATGCGAATATCTACTATCACCATCGCGTATGCGAATATATACTATCACCATCGCGTATGTGAATGCAAATATCTACTACTGACATTGCGAATGCAAATATCTACTATCGTCTTCACGTATACGAATGCGAATATCTATTATCACCATCGCAAATGCAAATACGCATGTCTACTACCGACGAAGACGAATATCCATTATTATGACTGCGAATGCGAATATGAATATCTACTACTGACATTGAGAATTGGGATATCTACTACCGACATCGTAAATGCGATAAATTCGTTTTTTTTTTAATCTGGCGTCAATAGTCTATGGCTATTATTTATAGTTTCGTACTAGGTGATAATTAAATATTTTTGTTGGTTTCCCAGTCTTGCAATTCGTATCCCTTGGTTGCCGTTCCTCCTTAAGCTAATATGAGCAGTTAAAGAAGGGTGAATGTAAAAATCAACCTGTAATGATAACACTGACAAGTCAGTCTGGGAAACCAGGATCAATTCTGATTGATCCGATTGATTAATCAGGGTTTTATACTGACGTTCGGAAACTGAAACACGGTGGGCGGATAGTTCCGCGATAGATGTGCGGTAACTGAAGTCAAGTTATACGATATATTGGTCTGATTTCTATGCTGGACTTTTTTCATACACTTTATTGAAGCCGTAGAAGGCTAATACACATTTTTTTTTTACGATCAAGTTGATCGCGTGTTATTGGAAGGTGATGTCAGAAGCCATTAAAACTGGGGAGCATACATGAAAATAGTAATTGAAAGAGGAGGAAGAAAAATATATTAGGACCATGGCCTTGTTGTGCTTGGCCCTCACTTTCTATCCTGCAAGGGATTCGGTGTGAAGTTATAGATAGATCAATGCAGGTCTATTTACCTATTTTTTTATTTTTAGGAAGGTTCCCGTTACAACGCTTTGCATGTAGCAGCCAAGTCCATGAACGCGGAGATCTGCAATTTGATACTGACGACAGTTGGCAATCCAGCGTTCGTTCAGTCCTTGTATGGTTCAGATGCAGACCCTGAATCTTGTAAGGTGGGTAATAACGTAGATTACCCGGTGTACTTCGTATCATCTCTCGTCGTTTAAACCTTCCCTAGACTAAGACATAAATTTCAATACCAAAATCAACTAAATCGGCCCAGCCGTTTTAGAAAACAAAACTAATTTTAATGTGTGTTTGTTTTAATTTTATTCCCTAGTCACGAGAAATAAATAATTTTTAACTAATATCATATTCATTGCTCTCAAGATAAAAAGGTAAAGCTCGTATTATGGAGTATCACAACACCCAGACTAAGAACATTATAGAACAGTTTATTTTCTACATTGACAAGGAGTCGTACCCGGGAAGTCATCAAGCCAAGTAATACAGAAATTGTCACTTCATCAAGTCATCAAGCCAAGTAATACAGAAATTGTCACTTAAAAAAAAGAACTCAAGATGGCCTTGTTGCTGTGTTGAATCTCTTTCAGGCAGGCACTTTGACAGTATTGCAACATAATTTAGTCTAGTTTGTACAATAGATTTGCTACATTTAATATACATTAAAATTATTTGCGAAAAGGAATTCGTAATGGAGAATAAGTCACAAAATTCGATAAAAACTAAAATTTTCAATAAAATAAACACAGTTTTTCTGATTTGCAGTCATAAAACCGAATTATTACATATATTATTGAATTAATAGTTGAGTTTATATCCGTGTATCACGTAATCTAAAATAAGATCGTCATGGTGTGACGTCATTTCGGCATATACAGTCTCCACCTGTCAAATGATTAGTAAACAGCTGCTTATTGACATTATAATAAAACTCTTTGATAGTGCTGCTCTAATATGTTATATATTTATATTTTTAAGCATCTTTCATTGAAATATTTTCCAGTATAGCACTGTGAAAGCGAAATTAATCAAATATAATAATTAGAACAAATTTTTATCTTTATCGAAAGTTTAAATATTTGTAAAATATTTCTTTCGGCTGTTTGGGTGGATTGTCTGAACATTGATGAGAATTCGCTCTGTAGTAGCGAAAAGTAACGAGTGCTTGAAAGATTCGTCAGTCCTGTTAGGTCCTGGGTAGCTTAGTGGTTAGAACAGTCGCCCGGATTGCGAAAGGAAACCAGAGACCAAGTGGATTTTTTAAACATTTTTCATTAAGAACATTTTTTATTATTTGGGATATAAATTTTTGTGGATTAAACTAAAAAAAAAATACTTTCAAGTACTTTTTAAAATAAAGTAGAATACCCTATTACGTCTAGAGTATCAGTAATGTTAGTTGTTATTTTGTAGGAGTTCGCTTCGATACTAGTCGACAGATATCTGAATACACCAGACAAGGCAATGAACGAGACTCCGTTACACTTCGCTGCCAAGTTCGGTGCAGAGGAAGCGGTTGACGTACTTACGTCATTCCCGCAGTGTAACAAGCACGCGGTCAACAAGTACGGCGAGCAACCTAAACATGTGAGTTGTTAATTATAAGTATAAAAAGTCTATGGAAATTTTTGACTTTCGGATTCTACTAGAGCAGTTGGCTAATATACGATTACGTATATATTTTGCTTCAACCTATCATTTACTGGGCGAGTATTTTACAAACAATTATGTTTATTAAGTTAAATAATTGATTATGTTCTTATTTTAAATTTATCTATCAATTATGAGAGAGTGTTGTAGAATAATGCTTTATAAGGAATGAAAATGTTTTTATTGGCTTTCAAAATACATGTATACAACATTGTAGAAAAAATATAAAGAAAAACAAAGCACCAGGAGGCCTACTAGGTGGCTCTCAGTGATATCTTCAGTGACAGTAAACAACACACAAGCACTGATATTCCGAAAGCCTCTATATGTATAATGTCTGTCCGTGACAACATATGTAGGAAATATGGAGGCCTAAAAAGATTATTGAAGAGTATACTGTGTTATAATTTGTAAATGGTTTGTGTAACATTATTATCACAAGGATAATAAAATGAAGAATAAATATCAAGATATACTGGCTGGTTTTATTTGTATAATCAAGACAAAGATTTACATAGAAAACTACATAAATAGCCTGATCTTTTAGAAACTGTTATAATCTTGAGTATGTTCTGTAAATATTAGTAGAATTACTAATCCAAAACGTTAACTCTGTATCGAGCTCGTACGACGGTTGATATTTTTTGTATTTTGAAATAACTAAGTTCATTAGGAATGAGGTAGTTTAAGTACATGTATAATTTGATCAGGTTATATGCAAACGAGCAGCTAATGCATCACCAGAGCTGGTCTCCCGCATCGAGGTGATGTTGCAAGAGCGATACTATGTCCCAGTGTTACACGCCGAGGACGGCAGTGGAGCACCCACTATCGGCACACCATTCACGCCCGCGCAGCCCCCTGTGAGTTTATATAACCAGTTTTATTTCAGTAATCAGAGTAGGTAGGTAGACTTTTGGTACTATTATCATAAATGATCTTAGGATAAATAAAATAACATGGATAAGAATTTTCCTGTAAATATCTTCGGATTCAACTGAGCAAGAAAGTATCAAAATGATTTAATTTTACCCTATTTACTATTTAAGCCTATTGGATCCTGTTTTAATCTTTGTAATCAATTCATATATACTTTGGACCGAAATTCCGTATTATATTTTATATAATAACCAATCAATACAAAAGGACTGTCTATGTCCAATAATTAATCATTAAAGTCCATGTTTTTGTTTCCTCATAAAAAATATTGTCGTGCAAATATTATATTTTACAAATGTTTTGCAACAAAGATTTAATTTACTTACATATAGTTATTTACAGACTGTGCTATTCAAATAATGAGAACATTTTGTGTTATATCCGAGTAGACAATGAACGTGGACCCGTTGAGTCCTCGGTACGAGATTCGCGCATTCGCTGGCCCCATGCCGGCCACGGACGCGGCTTCGTTCCGCCGCCGCTGGAAAACTCCGCCGCGCGCACCCTCTCTCTCCGCGCTCTCCGCACACTCGCCGCTCTCGTCGCCGCGGCCGCGCTCTTCGTTCCGATTAAAAGATTTCACCAAAGGACTCGAGAACGTCGGCAGGTAAGTGGCTCATACACTTGTCCTGATTTACTTGACTTGAATACAATATATTACGGAATGGGCTGTAAATACATGTCCCCCATACAGACCCTTCTCTTAAAATAAAAATGTTTAGGGAAAATACATATCGACCGATCCGATCTATTCGATAGTATTTTGATAGGCAATCCACTTAGAGTGTAACACATTGAAGTCTATATTTAAAAGGTGTTCATACCCGGATTCCATCAGCCTTAGCTTGCTCTTTTCTGAGCAGACAAGAATTCCCAATGCTACTTTTAAAAGCGATAGTTCTATAATAAAAATAAATTCTAATTATTTACAGTTCATGAGCAAAAAATAATCTTTAAACATTAAATTCTGATATATGCCACATTATTCTTTTCGTCTTTTCAGAGAACTAGCAGAGGAAATGAAAATTGGCTGGAAAGAGTACTGGCCTTTCTTGGACACATTTACAGATCTCAGAACTAATGAAGGTTTAACATTTCTAGAGAACTATCTGAAGACTAAATATGACAGCGCCTGCTCTCTCGCTTACAACGATAGCTGTGCTAATTCACAACTACCCGACGATTCATTGCTATCCCGAATAAGTCTTTTAAACGTATCCCAAATAAGCCCTTTGAGTCCAATGTCAGAACTGTGTGTTGCGATGAACACCTGCAAGATATCTTCAGACAGACATCAAGAGTGGAAAATAGAGAATAATAATGGCAATAGGCAGAGAGCTATAAGGCGATCGCCGGTAACCGAACCGGCACCTATTAACGGCGAAACTCAAATCACTAATCATACAGTGAGCAGACTTTTGTGTATAGAAAGAACGTGCCAAGTATTCGCTAAGAGGATAGCGGACGCTTTAGTATTCTCTTTAAACGCTGAACCTGAAGTCGCTGGTGACTCGCTAAAGTCGGAAGCGAAACATCTACATCGCACTATGCTCACGTATATGGACGACGATAGATTTCGCACGATAGACTTCGCACTGGTACATTCCAGATTGGCACAGCTGGTTGTTTTCAAATTGAAACAGACAACACACGATTTGGACGACGTCGATCGGTCAGTGGAATTCCTTATGAAGCTCCGGTGTCCCAATGATGACATATTTAGTTCTGATGATGAAAGGAAACCTGTACATTACAGGGGTGTGAATAAAGTTAATTTGACACACGTGATGGAAGCTCACGTTAGATGTTTAGCCAGTTTTATATGTGAAGAGTTGACAGAGAATGATCCGATGAAAGGTCCTGCTGTGTCGGAGAAAGAATGTGCTGATATATGGGAGAAAGCTTCGAAGTGTAGATGTGATTGGAGAGTGGAGACGTTGGAGAGGAACAGCAAGACTAACGCTTCGTTCAGAAAAAACAGATCCAGTTTATTCACTAGTGCAAAGGGTGAGAACTTTGTGAGAAGATTGTCGTTCGATCACGAGATAGGTGAGTTGGTTCAGCTGAACTTTGATCCATATTATAAGATTCCGATGTTTTTAAGATTAGCCAGTCTGTAATATATAACTAATTGGACTACATACTGATGTTTTTGAATTCGAAATTTACGCACTTATATAAGTGCTTACCTTATATGATATAATAATATGAGATTAGGTTGAGATCAAAACATCCTAACCTAGATTTTTACGTAAAATTCTATGACGCTATACTCTTGGCAGAGTGGTCGTGGTGATCATATCAGGGTGGCACGCCGAACTATCCTTCGCCGTTCACGTGAACAGTTCTGTGCAATCGTAGAAAATAAAATTTTATTAGATGACATTTTAGTTATATTTCATGTTTAGCGATTGGAGCAGAAAGATTGAATTAGAGTTATTGATGTTATCCATGTTATTCTTTCTATGAACATTTATTATGCAAATACTGATCACTGGTAATGACAGTGTCGATGTCGTGGACATATCGTCGAAATGGTTGTATTTCATGAAACGGTCACCTAAAATTGATTATATAGTTTAAGCGTCAACGATTAATAATATGGCAACCCACGTTTGGTCATATCATTAGCGTAGGGTGTCCAAAGAATAAAATTATTTGCTGAAATAGTTTGTTTATACGACAGCGTCATGATTTTGTGGTCTGAAAAAAAAAATAACCTTGTACTCTCGCTACGCGCAGAGTAGCTCTTTGCAATTGTCTTAAATTTCTAAACTATCTCGTGTCCCACAGAAAATTTAGTTCTGTTCATATCTCAAATCTTTCATATCCTCGAATATATTATTATCATCCTCTGGAGCTAGATTAAAATCCTGTCTTCGTCATGTTGCAACATATCCATAAAACTATAGAAAAGATTTTGCCACTACACCTTCGAACTACACTCCTACAAATATCTCACTAAACGTAAGTAATTGTTTTACGTTGCTTGATCACCTTACTTTCATTAATTTGTTGTATAACCTAAAAATTAATATACATAATAAAAAACAAAGCGACATCAGCGCCTCTAACGGAGACTAATTTAATAATTTATTTACATTCACGTGAATTCATGCGAGTCTGGGGTGTTAAAAGGCGAAGTTTTACACTTTACAGTACTTGTATATTCGAAAGGGCCTCAGTGGCTGGTTATCTGGCAAGCACAATAATAAGACGATTAGCAAACTATAGGCATTTCGTGCTTCTTAAGGAGCTACTTTCAAAATTATTCCATAAAGATGTTTTCATTTCATTATTCATTATAATGACGTGCAAGGTGAACTGAATAAACCTTTAAATTGATTGGAATTGTTTGTTAATTAATTCTCTTATTTTTGTAATAGATGTCTGGCTACGCAGTTTTCCTTCATTGATAATAATCTCAGTTTAATAGTCAATTAAACTTAGTTAATGAGTTTTATTTTAGATTTTATTTTCTTGATATTTATGTTATAAAAACTGTATATCATTATTAAACTTTTGTATAGTATTATACAGAGAAGACTGGTTATCCATTTCGTATTTGATTAGATAACTGGATGACTAAGCTTTACTCGGCACTTTTATAAAATAAAAAAAATAAACCTAACTAAATCGATTTATCGCCTCTGAAAGCCCCTGCATACTTAATGTTATGAAAATTGTTGGGGCTGTTACCGAGATTATAATACAGGAATTGATCTTTTAAAAGTTTTAGATAAAAAAAATTTAATTGCGTGAAACAATGTTAAATATATAAAACTTTATTCAAAATATGCGTAAAAATAAATGTTTATTTTATAATACCTATAATTAAAACAGTAGTACAGTAGAGTAAAATTTCAAATGTCCACTAAAGTCACTTGAGTCATAGACAAAAAATAGTTTTGTATGATTCAAAAGTATGTCCTTTAAAAAAAATTGAATAAGATCATTTTGACTTTGAGTGCAGTATTCTTCAGTTTACTAAAATATATGGTTTTATTGTTAGGTGATGGAAAACTTCAAAACAATGTCATCGATAGTGTAGTGAGTGTGAACTCTCCAGCTGGTGACAGTGGACCAGAGTTTTTCACCGTGAACACAGACAAGTGTCAAGTACTGACTGTTGAGGTAACAACATAAATAATGAGTATTTAATAGCATCATAATTAATTTATCCTAAGATTAAGTGATACTGTCAGTGAAGAAATTTCCACTGTTCCTTATCCTTCACAGTCAATTTTACTTCTACCTTTTACCTTTACTTTTTCAAAGTAGCTGAGCCTAAGTCTTCCCCTTCTTTTTTTCCCCTCTATGATATTTTTAATAAGCTTCTGTTCTCTGTATTTCATCATCATCAGTCCTTTTACTTTCCCACTGCAGGGACGCAGGCTCTCCTTGTGTGGATGGTTAAGGAGGATGGGCCATGACCCTCCACGCTGGGCTACTGCGGATTGGAGGGTATTAATGACTACAAATGCAGCCGGGACCAACGATTTGACGTGCCTTCCGTAGCACGGAGTAGCTTGAGAAATTTTGGTGCATCCATCCCGTGACCCACCCTTGCGAAAGTTTTAACAATACCGGCCGTAAGCCGCGGTACTTATTCACTACGCCACCGAGCTTATCTATCTACCTATAATTAGTAAAAAAAAGTCGCTTCCTATGACTACGATGAGATCTTTTCAACTACACATTCGATTTTTAACAATATAAAAAGTGATAAAAAGGGAATGTTTATATGTATAATACATGACCACACGGACGAAACCGCTGGCGGAAATCTAGTAATTTATAAAGATTATTAAAACACAAGTTTTTGAACTTCTACAATTTTTTATGACAAAATAAAGATATCAATTATGTGTACAGATATCTGAAGACGAGTCGTGCGAGTCCTGCCAGTCTGAAAGCGAGGATACTTACCTGACGGCGTCAGAATACGAGGACGATAACGATATGACCGAGGCCAGCGATCGAGCCGTCGCCGAAACATTTATATACGGGTAACTTGATATTATACATATGTTAGCGATTTTCATTTATCATATTTAGTATTTTCAAGCTTGTTACTATAAATCACATACACACACACATATATACTCATATGCATATTTTTTTTATATTTTTCTCAAAATGAAAGACTTTCTGTATGAACTATGGAAGAGTACATATTTCTGGTACAGATATTATTATATTGAAGAAAAATTTTATGGATATACCTATAGTTATTTAGCTTTGGGTGTTTTGGTACCTTCGTTATTTCTGTATAGTAGAGCTTTAGTTAGGTACTCATATTGAAATCTGAGCAATGTATGTGATGTTGTCTAATTATTAGTAAGAATCATGTCCATTTTTTTAAAGGTCGCGTCTATCTGCCATTAGTTATATTTTTAAATTCGTTTTTGCTTAAAATCTAATCATTTACCAAATCTTAAAATTTGTTTAGAACCTTATGATATCTTATAATTTTTTCATTTGGGAGCCAGGGAGATTCGTAATTAAAAATTAATGCATTAAAATCAAAGCTTTTTATAGTTTTACTCATAAATATGTAAATAATCTAAATTTAATTGTTTATGTGCACTTTTTATCTTAAGAAGTAAGATTTTTTCCGTAGTAGATGAAACGAAACGTAGGCAACCCTCAGTGGGTCTGAATCGCGTTGGGGTAATGCAGCAAACCGTCATTTTAGGGTCCGAGTCGCAGTATTATCATTATAGTACTATTTAAAAATAATTATTAGCTTCGTCATATATATCTTGATTTAATTTAAAGATTTTATTTTGATGTACCGCATCACTAGACGCGTCAGTAAATTTTTAGGTCAAAATTGGATATGATTCTTTGTTCATTTTGACAAAATGTGTTATTAATTATTACTATTATTGTTTTAGAGAAGAGCCCACTAAAATGGATCGACTAGTCTATGACGCAATATGTCAGTGCCGTATAGAGCCGTCAGTGTTTCCCAACGTCTACAGATGGAGGCACACTGTCGCTCTGTACACTCCCGCTGAGAGAGAAGCGTTAGTATTTACATGTTTTTAACTTTGAATTTTATTTAGATGTTTATGTCAGATATCATATGATCAGATAAAAATATGTATTGTAATTTATATAAAAACACTTTGTTTAAAAAATAAATCTGATTGTGGTTTAATATCTTTATAAACAATTTAAAATACTTCTCTACCGTCCCGTCGTGGCGTCGCACGTTTCAGCTCTCGTAATCCACAGACTATAAATCGCAAGTTGATATTGCACAATTCAAATACACTAACAATCCTATTAATATTATAAATGTGAAAGTTTATTTGTTTGTATGTTAAGTCAATCACGCCGAAACTACTGTATGGATTTTGATGAAATTTGGTATACAGATAAGGTATTAGCTGACTTAGATAGTAGGATAGTAGTAGGACTTTTTATCCCACTTAACATTTCCCTAGGGTCCATGCGGGCGAAGCCGCTGGCGAAAGCTAGTTTATTATAAAGCAAAAAATACTGCATAATTATTGTTGACTATGTAACCATTTAAAATGTCTATCGTACTTATATTAAAGAGGAAAGATTTGATTGTTTGTTTGTTTATATCGAATAGGCTCCGGAACTACTGAAGCGATTTAAAAAATTCTTTCACCTAAGGGCGAATCCAGAAGGGAGGGGGAGGATCCTACGTTGAATACCAATTAAAATTGTTATACATAATGTTTTTTATATTTTTTGTCCCAATATAGATTTTATCAAGTACTTTCAAAATCTAATCAATTTAAAATAATTATCAAAGTTAACTTCTTATGACTTAATCACGACTATGTGACCTCTCCCTGTCGTAGCTGGATCCGCCCTTGGAAGCTACATCATACGAAGGAGATATAGGCTAAAAATTTATACGGGCGAAGATGCAGGAAAACAGCTAGTATTTTGTTAATTTATTGAAATAACTTGTTAAGTAAAAGAAATTCTATTTACTCTGGCAGTCAAATAATAGAAAAAAATTAGATACGTATTTTTTTTTGCTTCAATTTAAATAAGAAATGGCTTAGATACCTATTATGCATTAAAATTGAGGAGTGCAGATTCACCCCGCCAGTTATGTAGAAAATGTACAAAAGCGTGACGTCATGCGACATTTCAACTCAATGTGTTGCCATAATTAATTGATTACGCAAAACATAAAAAATATATGTGTTTAATTTTTTTCAATAGCCGGACAGATAAAAAAAAATATTATCGTCCATTAGATAATAAAGATGTGTTGGCTATAGATGGGTGGACAGTAGTAACTCGGTATCTGCCCACTGCATCCTCGGCCCCACCCCCGACCGTAGTTCCACGCCAAAGCGAGACCGACATAGCGTGCCGCGCGCCTCACACACACCGCTACAGGTAATATTATATATATTGTGTTACTCACCGATGTAGATATTGAATTATGTATGTATCTATTTCATCTTTGGCCTACGCAAGTATGACCATATCTTTGATTATCGTCCCCAATTTCAATGGCTACCTATCTCTCGTAGAAGAGACTGTCACACCCTATAGCTTCGTTTTTCATTCTTCTAATCTCTCTGCAATTTGAGATCTTCTCATAACCTTTCTTTAGTCATCTCTCCCTATACAACTGATTTTGTTGCCATTTTGTTTAATATCAAAGCTATTAAACTGTGGGACCCACTGCCGGTAAATATCAGAGCACACAGTCACGGTAGTCCTTTGTTAAATATGTCAAAGAACATTTCCTCAAGCTGGATTCATTTGCCTGAAATCGTATTCTATTTTGATTGACTTTTGTATGTTTTCTTATTTTAATTATATTAGTATATGTTATTACTTTTATGAATTTTCTCATCTTTCTTTAATAAATTAGCTCGCAATCTCTTTACTCTGTGTCTGTCTGTATAGTTTATTTTAGCTAAGGGTAAGCTGGTAGAGATTGCTATCTTAGCAATAAGGCCACCTCTTGCATCCATGTTTCTATCTTCTATGTTTCATGTTTATGTTTTACTGGGCAAAAAGTATATTCATTAATTAATTGATGAAAGTTGAAATAATCTTTATTCAAATAACCTTATAAGAAGTACTTTTGAATCGTCCAAATTTTTATTTTATTTACCCTAACCTACCTATACGTTCAGGACGTTCGCTGACTTTTATATCGACTGTGGAATGCGTTGCATCATCCTCTTTCTTAGTACAGTAAAACAACAACTTAAACTTAGGCGGTCTATAGTTTACAGTTAAAGTTATGACTTAAAACCATTGTCAAATGATAACTAATTATTATTGGCTTTCTTAGTACAGTAAAACCGGTACTTTATAATATGTTTGATATTATTAAAGTAAGCTGGTGCAACTCACCCTAAGTATACAAGAAATCACTTATTAAAATGGCTGGAAACTTCCAAGTCCAAGATCATATCTGCTATAATAATAAATCAGCTGCAACATATTGACAACCGTACACATCAGAGTTTCCATTGAAAAATGCGAAATGCAACAGTTGATTTTAAACTCTTGCTCATAATGCATTAAGATTTCAAATCAAGTAGAGAAGTCTAATAGGTTCGTATAACCTCATGTTCTAGTTTTTTGGACACGGAGACGTCAGGTTGCCACAATGATTACCGACCAATAGCGATATTACCAGTTCTCTCAAAAGTTTTTGAGAAAGTCATGCATAATCACCTTTCAACGTTTCTTGACAAATTCCAAGTCATTACAAAACACCAATATGGGTTTCAAAAGCATAAATCGACAACGCATGCTACTTTTGACCTTGTTAATGAGGTACTTCAAAACGTCAATGAAAAAAAATTCACAACAGTGTTATTTATAGATATGTCGAAAGCGTTCGACCGTGTTCCACATGACAGACTGTTAGCTAAACTAGAGCGTAGTGGAATTAGGGGTCCAGCTCTCCATTGGATAAAGACTTATCTAACTGATAGATTTCAATATGTAGAAATTAATCAAGTAAGCTTAAAAAAGATTGTTAAATACGAATCTAAAGTTAGGCTTAATAGACTTGGTGTTCCACAGGGGAGTGTCCTGGGCCCATTATTATTTATTTTATATCTAAACGATTTACCAGACATAATAAAACATAAATTGATACTATTTGCTGATGACATTTCTATAATAATAACAACTGACAAAAACTCTTCTTTGGACCAACATAAAAATGACATAATTTGTACCTTAAAATCAATAAACGAATGGACATATAATAATAACTTAGAAATTAATCTATCAAAAACTAATTTAATGAATTTCAATAATTTTAAAACCCAATCGATTGACATAGCTTTTAACGGACAAATTCTTCAGAATGCAACAAGTGTTACATTTTTAGGACTAATAGTTACGCCAACATTGACCTGGAAAGAACAAATAGATAAAATATGCAATAAGGTAAATGGATTTGCTTATGCATTGTACAAATTAACCAAAGTTGCAAGCTTAAATACTGCCATTACAGCCTATATGCGTACGTAGAAACAGTTTTAAGGTACGGTTTAATTATTTGGGGTAATGGTACTGATGTAACAAGATTATTGATTGCTCAGAAACGCTGTGTTAGAGCTATATGCAATTTGACATCAGACATATCATGTAAACCTTATTTTATTTCTTTAAAAATATTAACACTGCCCTGTCTGTATATATTAGAAGTGGCGATGTTTGTGAAGCAAAACGAAAAATTCTTCGTGCGATCGAGTAATGTAACTGAAAGAAGTTTGAGAAACCCGAACAAAGTAGTACATACATCGATACCAAAAACAAGAAAAAATTTAAAAAATAGTCTCTTTATGTGTACAACTGTCTTTAATAAAATACCCAATGATATAAAAGATTTGCCGGCTAATCGTTTTAAAATATTATTGCGTAGATGGCTGATTGAAAAAGCTTTTTACTCGATTGGTGAATTCCTTAATGAAGGATAGTTTATTCAGTAATTAATTTGTAAGCATGATAGTCGATACAAAGTTTTATAAATAATTTTACATAATTGCATCTGACATACGTTTAATATTTTAATATTTCCATTTGACATCTTATACATTTTTTAATTATTTTATTTTATTTTTTTTGTACAATTTGATAAAATTGACATGATTAATAACGTTTTGACACAATTGTAATATTTTGATTAAATACCATTATTGTTAAATTTGACACAATTTTATGTTATTATGAAATATTTTAAGTTTCATCTATTTTATTATTATTATTAGGTATTATTATTATTATTTTTTGCATGCTGTTCAAGATGGCTAAATAGGTCAAAGCTCTTAAACTGAAATATCACACTGTATATATAACCCTATTTATTGCAAATAAAGACTAATAATAACTCTCGTCCCGCTTCTTCACCTTCTTTGTTATTTTTTGTTTGTTCTGATATTATACTTTCTACTTCTAATATATTTTCTGTTGTTTTAATGACATCCAAATTATCCATATCATCATCCACAGTTTCTTGGATTGGAATGATTTCATTCTCGATATGGTTTTGTTTCAAATTATACATTTTAGTTAAATTGTCTTTTAGTATTTCTAGTTCGTCCTCCTTGTTTTTTGGTTTTCGAGCTGACCTAATTCTTGGTTCTGTATTGTCATGCACTTTATCTTCCGAGGTTATTTGTAAGTTATCTACATCATTTTCACCGCTGGATTTATTCTCTAGAGATTTTTCCGATACTGGTGATCTTTGTGAATGATAGAGCTTTCTGAATTCAGCTAACGGTGTTTCTAGATAGTAATTGTGTCGGTTTTGTGATTCTTTTAACTGTGACTCTAATTTTGTGTAAGCCAGCGGAATCGGACGAGAGTTGGTTAAAGCTTTGTTCTTGTAATTTGTTAGTGTATTCAATATTGTTCGGTATCTATCATATTCTGAATCTTTCGTATTTTTCCTTGTAGATTCTAGTTCGTCATGTTGGACGATCGTATCTTTCAATTGTAAATCTGTAAGAGACAAGATATATAAAAGCGCTAAACAAAATATGCGATATAGCGTTCTCAGTACTATATCATTAATTATCATAAAGAAACTAGTTTTATATAATTTGGTTTAGAAACGATTTATCGATATTCCTTACAAATATCTGAAAAATCTATCTCAGACACCAGATTGGAATCAAACGAGCAACGTCTCATTATCCGGGTGAATGCTCTCCAAACTGAACTGTGATCTAATTAGACTGGTGGATTTCTCAGTCCCCTGCTACCGAGAGTATTTTCATTTAGTAGATAAGCCAATGAACGATGTAAATATTTAAATAACGGTAAAAATTTAAATAACGGTACTCGAGGCTCTGTACGAATTCTTTTCGTGGTTGTACTAATATCACCTATTACTAATCGGTACCACATCGTAGAATCAATAAAACCTCGTGTAAAAATATATATATTTACCGCTCTGTCGGTGGTCTCGTGTGCTCCTCATCTGTTCCTGCCTCCGTCTGAAGTCCAGATAAGACTTCTCGACAGCCTCCGCCTCTATCTCCAGTTTGCGGAGTCTAGTCTTGGCCTCGCGCAGAACTGAACTAGGACTCTTGTCGCGACTAGTACTAGCCTGCCCTCTACTGTATCTATACGCAAATAGTTTGTTATAATTCACAAAATATGTATTTTATATCCCATGATAACGCTTATTTTTTAATAAAAAATAGTTTTGTTGCGATACTGACAGCATAACACCCTTACTAATAAGAAACTTATATTCGTTGTTTAATCACATATGGCTCTGTTCACATCAAACCTATATTGCGACTTTCAGTTCGAGTGAAAAGACAAAACACTAGCAGTGTTATTAATAAATAAATTTACGCTGTGACTTAGTATTAGTCAAAATTCATATTATTAAACAGAGACTTAGCCAAGGTTAACCTAGTACGAGGTTCTACGGGAGTAATATTTACTCCTAGAATGTAGTAGGTTTGCTTATTCTCTGTATAATATGAATTTGGAGTAATACTAAAAATGCAATTTTAGCGTAAATTTACTCTGACGCTAAACTTTGTTTATTAAGCAGCACTATAGCTATGGCTACCACAGTTTTATAGACTTCTAGTTAATATTAGTAATAATAACAAAATTTTTGTTAAATATATATATCACTATTATCATAAGGTTACTCTTAAAATTCTCAATTTTTCAATTTCTTGATGTAATTCTACTTTTTTTCCCTATAAAAAAGGTAGTAAAGGTAGGTTTGATAATACACTCTTTCGACTGGAAATGCAGCCGGGGTACGATCAAATAGTATTCACGTTGATATATGCAATATTCTCTCTTACTTAATCAATTTCTCTTTGGCTTCTTTGAGGACTGATTTTGGACTCATTTCTCTCGGTTTATATGTTTCGGCAATCTGAACTCTTGGTCTGGACCTGCAAACAGATAACTTGAATATTTTATAGAATCAAGCATTATTTTGCGAGAGTCTATTACATAACCAAGAAAGTAAGATGTCTACCAAAAGTTGCTATATATCTTACTTTCACGGTTATAAATTAAATAATACAATCCTCAGATAACTTTTAAAAAAAACTGATTTTTAGATCGATTTTAATCCTTATTAAGAAAGAAGTTAAGTTAGAAATCGTCGTATATGATGAAAAATGTGGAGAAATAAACTGCATTAATAAACTATGCTTTTTGAAGTTTGAACTGAAATAAACGTACATTTATAATTTATAGTAATGATGCAAAATCATATTCTGTAAGATTTGACTGGTTTGTTTGTTTGAATCGAATAAGCTCCGAAATCACTGGACCTAACATAAAAATTCTTTCACCTTCTGGAAGCTATATCACAAGAGGGTGACAAGTCGCAGAAAAATGGCTAATAGTACTTTAAAATAAAATCTCACCTTCCCATTGGTGAATACACAAAATCATCATTTATCTGTGGTACCTCTTCGTTTTCTACAGGTACACGAGTAGGTGATTTATTGGTTCTCAATTGACTGCCTGTAGTATTAAAAATAAACACAAACAGTACTAGCATAAGATACATTATTGAACAACAAAGTTATTACAAGATATTTATGAGAAAAATAAATTGCTACCTTTTAGATTTTATATAAAGCTGTAGTAACATAAAACAAACGAAAAATTAACAAACCTATTAAGGCCCCACTGCATTGGCTTGCCTATGATGAATACAATCGCAACGGAAAAACTGGTCACAAACCACCAAGCCTGCCCAGTGCGGATAAGTGGTAGTAAATGAGGGAACAAAAGCTGAATTTACCCTATAAAAACCGAGAGGGTAGACGAAGATAGTAAGTTTTTGTTTCCGATACTTGGCCTTTGCAAAACTTGCTTAATATCCGTAATCGCTGATCGCCACACCCTCGACCACATCAAACAAATACTTATTTTTGTCGGACGCACTATACTTAGTGATCCGTGTAAGTGGCCAAATTCTAAATAAAATTATATAAGACTAATTTCTTGTGATTTAGTCTGATTCTATAAAGACGTAAACGCCACATGACGTCATTTGTAACTAATGCATTTTCAACAAGGTATAAAAGTCTAGTGAGTTTATATTGTTTCAGCAAATATAATTACCGTATGTAAGTGATTCAGACTCCTTGAATGCAGCACGTGGTGTATGAGCTTTAATGCTATTGGCTCTTCTCAGCGAACGCCATTGGTTTATTACGTGTCTGCAATGATATTATAATACGATAGTCAAATGATGTCATGAATGCGTTGTAGGTATAAAAAAGCAAACTTGAAGGTTATTATCTATGAGGAACTGCGAATAGCGTGAACTTAATTTCGCAGAAGCATACACACATATTGTTGAAATTCAAAATTACATGTAGACATTAATTAATGTATAGCTACAAATTAAAAAGTAAAACAATTAGTTGACAGAGAGAATCTCTTGGCATAAATACATTTCATGTCTGTTATATATTTCTAATAGAAAAAATTGTATATAAATAAAAGGTATGTATATAACGCACGTCAGCTACAACGGCGGCACGCTTGCTTCGTTCGCTCGGTTTGCTTTTTTTTTGTCACATCTCTAACACAACCTAATCGATTGATAAGTTTTATATTAAAATAAAAATACGTGAAAGCCAATTATATCAAAATAAATTCCGTCATCTTTATACTATGCAGTTGTGAATTCGAAGATTCAAACATATAACTATGCAACATATTTTTCACACCTTATAAGTATCAAAAGAACATTATTGAGTGTATGCCAAATAAGTTTTGGAGCATCCGAAGCTCAGCTAGAAAACAATTAAAACGACAAATGGAATATGCATACTCAAAAAAGCGTACTTAATTAAAGAATATTTAATTAACGCTATTATTTTGGAGTGTTACCTGGTGTTATTGGTGTTTCGGTCCTTCAACACTCCTATGAACGGTATAGTATCGGACGGCTGTAATATCCTCGGCCTCGCTTCACTGAAAACACTTAACTCTTCGCCCGCCCCCTTACGCCATCCCACTGCGTTACAACTGACACTCGAATTCAAACTGTACATTTCACAACATCAGTTTATTAATGTGTCTTTTATTTTGGCACAAACCTTACCTGATATTGAATAAGTAAAAGTGGTGTAGTGGATAACTTTTGCAAGGGCGACGTAGTGGTTAACCGGCCCTTACAAAAGTTGCTTACACGGGATGGGTGACCGAAAAACTATTATCTCGAGCTACTCCGTGCTTCGGAATGCACGTTAAACCATTGCTCCCGGCTCCCTCCAATTGCACCCTCCAATCCGCATTGGGCTAGCGTGGAGGGTCATGGCCCATCCTCCTTAACCATTCATAAGTAAGCCGTAGCCTGTAGCCCAATTCACGTTACAAAAGTAGTAACCATATCGCAGCGATTAGTCGTTGAACCCATTTTTCCAATTCACATCTATGAATAAAACCGATTTATTTATTTTTTATAATTCTATCGGAGTATCGTCCAAGCGTATTCACCTAATCAAACGTGTCATAAACTTGCGCAAAATCGGACTTTATTAGCTAATTCTGTTAAAGAAATGACGTTTATTGACGATTCGACCAAAGGTCAAAAGCTCATTAATTGGTGTTGTTGATATACCAAAACCTAGAAATAAACAATATGAGCCTTGGTTAAGCTTTTATTCTATTGAATATAAGTGAGTCACGAAGAAGAAATGGCGGACTAGTTATTTATTTGTACTTGTCTGCGCCTACACTATTTATAATCATTTCACATAAAAGGGACCGCTGTAGGCCCGGATCTACGATTTTTTGTAACCGGTGCAGAAAATTCATATTGTGTCTGTCTTCTCTACACCTTTCACTTGGCGTCCGGGGGACGGAGGGGGTACAATTCCGAAAACTGGGCATTAGTATACTATGATTTTTACCTTATATATTTTATTTCTTCCATTTTTATGGTTTACCTATGAATAAACGCGGGCGGTGACAGTGTATGGTCGTGCGCGGGCGCGGTGCGGGGCCGGAGCGGCTGCGATGCGATGTCGCGTCGTATCCGCGCCGCCGCCAGTTCCGATCGTAACCGTGCGCCTTCACTACTCAACTCGTCGATATGTTCACGTTGCTACACAACACGCGTGCATACAAAACCCGTGTTATTATTAAACATGTACTAACTTTAAGGTGATTCCGTCGAAACCAAACTTGTGATTTGATACATAAGTCATTACCGTTCTTCAGAAATAATGACTCTTGACTGATATTTTATTTGTTTCTAAAATCTGTAAAGAATCTGATATCATAACAGATCCTGATGTCGCCGATTTAAAAAAAAACAATATCAGTCAAGATTCATTATTTTTGAAGAACGTTAATGACGGTTGTATCAAATCGGAAGTTGGGTTTCCGAGGAATTATTCTTTTATCATCAGGTTTAAATCATTATCCAACCAAAATAGGTTTACGTCTCAATATATATATATTTTTATTAATTTACTAGCTTTCGCCAGCGGCTTCGCCCGCGTGGACCCTAGGGAAATGTTTAGTGGGATAAAAAGTATCCTATTATCTAAGTCAGCTAACACCCTATCTGTATTTCATCAAAATCTGTTGAGAAGTTTCGGCGTGATTGACATACAAACATCCAAACAAAGAAACTTTCACATTTATAATATTAATAAGATAATAGGTTCACTCTTGACCTCAATCCAGCCCAACGACACGAATAAGAGCTACAGTGGTACGAGTTTGCCCAGAAGGAATCTACTAATTGGTTAAATAGGTCTGGGTTATATGCACTCGAAAATATAGATGTTCATTTGACGTTTTCTCTATTCATTAATTGACATCTTGCTGATGTGGATTAAACAAAGTGCTAAATAGTCCTCGTTTGAGGTCAGGATTAGTAACAGCGTACAAGTATCGTTAATACAACATATTCACGAAAACAAAAATATTACTGTAATTTCATATTTGATTATGAGCTTTTTTATAGAATAGTACTTGTGTACGATATCACGAAATTCCTTTTGCTTTAACACGACTCGATGACCCAATGGGCTCTTAGCTGGATCCCGTATTCTGCCCCCCCTTCCCGCCCCTCGAGGGTACTCGCAGCGGGTTCCACCAGGTAGCCCGGTCTCTCTTAAAGCCTGTCCTTTTTCAGAGTGCGGGCTCGGAGGGCCCTGGTATAAGGTTTAAGCTGCATTGACCTCAACGTTATCAAAAAAGAGCACTAGGCAGTTGCCTAGTTTGCCTTTATGGACGGACATGCCCTGCGTATATCAAAACGCAAGTCTCCGCGGAAACGATGCAGAACTCTACAAAATATTCATCGCTATTGTCTTTATCACCTGACTAGCAAACGTCTTGAGTCGTTCATTCTCTTCCCGTAATCTGTCCAATAGTTCTCGATCGCGTCTTGTCTCCCTAGCGATAACGTCGCCCGCTTCACTAGATGCTGACGAACGACGATCACGACCTATCTCAGGATCCAACTCGTCTATACTAGACTGCAACATAATAGGGGATTACACAATTTTTATTTTATAGATTTACGTGAAATATATATAAATAAAAGTACCATTTATATAATAAGATAAAATCCTCTGTCAATGCGTCGCTATGACGCCACGCCCCCCTTAATCGCTCTTAATCGGAATCGCTTCCCTGATGTAACTAAGAGGGCCATGACGTCACGCACTGTTTGCGTTTACTCACCGGACGAAAATTCACGTTCTTTTGCTTCTTCAGATCGTTAACAACTCTCATTCTATCATCTGTATCACATTTCAATGGACTCCTATCTAAATTTTGTTCATTGTTCAAAACAAAATTCATTTTTGACACGACATTACTCATATCTGTGAGTGTACCCCTCTCTATCACACACTTCGGTTCCAATTTAGTAGTCTCTAAATATTTCTTCAATATCCCAAGTTCATCTCTGAGCAAATCATAATGGGACCGCAGCTCGTCGTTGGCCATATCGTGGACTTTTATTACTTGACTGTTCGTCTCACAATCGCTCTTGAGTTGTTCCAATTCCTTTCTTTCGCGGTTAATGTTATCCCTCTCTTTCTTCATGGATTCCAAATGACCTTCGAGTATTAGAAGTTCGTCTGATATCTGCTTGCGCATATCTTCTCCACGTTTTTTCAGTAAGTCTTCAGCTTCGAGCAGTTGAAATTTTAAGCTGTCTTCCTGGTAAAAAAGTATTTGTAATTAATTTGTACTTCCATGCAGACTTGGAAGTGAATGTACAATCTAAATATTTTTAACTGTGGCTGTGTCACTGTGGCTTATTTTTTCTGTCACCCTTCTCCTGTCCATGAAATTCATCTAACTGTCTTGTCTTAAGTATATATATAAGATAGCCTAACCACTGTACCAAGAACAGCGTGACCAGCGCGGGTATAGCCTTAACTTGAGACACGTGAGCAATCATATCCTTGTTTGGGAGACCAGTCAGGGCTGATACATTGACATAAGGAATCTTCGATACACAACACGCTGTTCTCGCTCTATTAAATGGCGATTCTGAGCAACAGAAAAGGGTAGGGCGGTGAAAGAAAGTTATACCGTGCTGCCAGACGTAGCACGAAGTCTATTACGGGAATGTTTCTTTAATACTCTAGCGAGCGTTCTACTCCCGTCGTTCGTCCCGGCTGCATTTTGAAGTGGTTAAAACCATCCAATTCGCATTGGGCCAACGTGGAGGCTTATAGCTCATCCTCCTAAACTATCTATCAGGAAGGCCTGAGCCCCTGTAGTGGGGACGTAAAGGGGCTGATGATGATGATGATCATCATCAGCCCCTTTACCCACATGAGTTAGTATAATATTAACCTCACCTTAGCCGTGAGCCTCTCAGTCTCGCATCGTACGGCGTGCATAGCGCGTGTCATCTGCGCGTGTTGCTCTCGTAACGTGCGAGCTAAGCCCCACAAGAACTGCTTCTTTTCACGCACGTTACGTTCCAACTCCGCCTCACGTGCTTTGAACGACTCCTCCATCTTTGGAGATTTAACGAATAAACGGTTGGGTTTATTACGTGGTCCTATTGACAGTGGTATACAACTAATGCGGCTCAACGATGTATGTACCTACAATATCCGGAATAAAAGTAAACGCAAAATGCGATAATTTTATTAACCGCCCGAGTTGAATAGGAGTTCCTTGAAATAACTGCCTACAGGATAATTGTTATAATGTAATTTTAAAGCTTCTCTTTATTTTTTATATTATTAGTTACTGCGTAGTGTTTACTTACATGCCGGGTGTTATGCGCAGCTAGGTTGTCAAAAAATTAGGGATTGCTGTTTAATATTAATGGATATATATCGATTGATATATACGAGTACATTTATATATCTCAATTGATTTTTATTGTTAGTTCGAATATTGAGCATTGAGTCTCAGCTAGAAATTTTATCAACCCGAAACTTCGGGACAATGTTGCTGACGAAGTAACAATCTTACTCACTAGAAATTTCGGGTTTTCCCCTATACGTTAGTGGAAATCCTAGCACGCATTCATTTTATAATATTTTTTAATTATTTTATAATAAATAAACAAATATCAAATTAATCAAATCTTTATTTCACATTTTTTATTTAAGTTCAAATATTAAATAATGCTACTAGCAGCTCATTAATCGGGGTTTTTTATATACTCGACGTTCAGCATAACGCTGTGACAGCATAAAGCTTTAATGAAATAAAACCTTCATTTTCTCAATTCCGAATTTAACTTTATAAAGTCTAAATCAAGTATAGAAAGAGATATGTGGTGGCGTGCTGCTGCGTGTAGGGTGTGAGAGAAACATACAACTTTGAGAGCAAATTATGTGAATAGAAAAAAAAATGAACAACCAAATGAACAGTAAAATTGCATAAGAAAATAAATCTCACCTCTTCTCTCCGTTTGTGTATCTGTAGAGCGTGAGATGCCAAAGAACGTTTAATGGCCTGCTTTTCATTTTCTCTTATCATGTCTACTTCAGCTTCATATACGTCCTTCAGTTGCTGAAACATCTTAAGTTAGAAGTGCTGATTAAAATATGTCCTTAACATTAAAAATGCAACATTTTTTACATTAGAAACTATAACTTTTCCTTTACCAAGCAGGCAAAAATGGATAATGACGAAAAGTATTATGTCAGCTTTGAAAGTAAACGATACATGTCGCTATTCATAAAACTCGTTATAGGTCTCTGATCCCATCCTGTACAAAAATAATCAGTACTTAGTACTATGGATAGCGATATTTATCATTTATTTCAACGCTCCCATAATGCGTTTCGTTGTTTGTTTCTTCGCCTGCTCTAGGAATAGACTTAACTTATATGGCTCAAATGGTATGGCCACTGAATCTATTCCGTATATTATCCCAACCATGGCTACAACAAAGTTGGAATAAAACATTATGGTGCAATAATTTAGTAGTTAGACCACAGTCATTGATGGGTAAGCGATTTTTTAAATTGACCTGACTGGGAATCGACTATCTGAGTTAAAACTAACTGAGTAAAGCTTACTATGCTATCTACGGGATCTTCGAAAGAGATATAACGAGCATTTAAGTAAGTTTAAAAATTAAGCACCTCGTCTACAAAGTTCTTTTCCACCTCGCCGACATTCCTCAAAAGCATTCTAACATTATAAGGGTTTTTATTGCACGATTTATCATTCTGAAATCAAATTCTTACATCAATATCTCAGTTAAAGTGCTAAAAAAATTTATGTATAAAAACAACCTACCTTAATCACTAATATAACTCTAATGTTATCGACATCAACAAGTACATTGTTGAGCCCAAAAGCGCAGTGGTTAGCGCGTTTGGCCTGCGATTGGGCAAATTTAGTCGATCATACGTTGGATGATCAAAAGTTTACTATCTGGAGTACAAGGACAGTCTAACGCATTTCCTCAATGAAAAAAAGGTCAAGTTACTTATGACGTGGGTGATGATTAACGCATACCTCGACTAAACGTGCTTTCCTTGATCTTCGGTATCGGTCCCGCATCCTCTTCATTTTCGCCTGACAGGTCTCACAGGACGCATAGTGACGGCAATGGTCGTGGGCAGAATAAATTTTACTTGAGTTGTTTAATATTATATCTTTCTCTACACTGTCAAAACTTTTCACACTTGAAGAGGCTGACGATACGTGATCTACAAATGTATTAAAACAGCAATCCTCTATACAATATATAGACATTACTGGGTATAAGAATGCCATTATGATAAAGTTTAATTACATAAGGGGACATTCTTGCAATACACAAGATGTGTTAAAATTATGTTGACAATACTCTGAATTAGATTAGCACTTAATGAGGACGACAACATAAAGTGCGGTACTGTGCTAGCGAACGTACGAAACGACATTTTTTCCAAATTTTCTTAAAAATAAATATTTTTAAATGTCATTAAAATTACTGTATTTGGCATTATAACATTATTTTAAAATTTCGTGCTCATAACATTAGTATGATTATAATTAAGGGATTGCTACAATGTAACTAATATTTATCGAAAATTTCAAGAATTTCAATCGTGAGAACAGCTTTACGTTATTAAGTCTGGAATCAATGGTTCATATATGTCAAAACCTGAAGAAATAGCAAAAAAGTATTTTTTTCATTGGATCTTCACTGTATCTCATTGGAGTATTGTGTGTCGAGAATAGGTTCGAGTTAGTGGTGGCGTAGTGAACAGTGGTACGGGCATGGAACGTAAGACGACTGCTAATAACACCCTGCCCCGCAAGATTTCAGTAATCTACTCCGTGATCATGGCGCTTACAACAGTACCGAAGTATCGGGAACTCGATAAATATAAGGTAAATACATGGTAGCAATCCCGTAATTAACAATAATAGGGATGATGACTAATTTTTGTTTGTTTGTCCGTCATGTAGAGTGTTAAAAAATATTAAACACGTATTTTTTTCGTAATCATAAAATTACGGCGTTACATTGAGTTGAAATATCGCATGACGTCACGTTAGAGTACGTTTTCTACTCAACTGTGACGTAGCGAGCCCCCACTCCTCAACTTTAATGCCTGTTATCTAAGCAATTTCTTATTGAATTGAAGTAAAAAAAAATACGTATCTAATATTTTTCTATTATCTGACAGACGGACTAAATAGTATTGCATTTTTTTTACCCAGTCATCATCCCTATTCAAAGAGTGATTTGTTCATCTTTTTTATTTAAGAAATAGCACTTTTTTTGTACATAAACAGCCTATCTTCACAATATGAATCTTATGGTGTCTGTATAAAAGGCGGTGATTATATTTTTGCCAGGAGCAGCTAAATAGCTAGATTGGAACCCTACCAACGTGAGAGTTTAATGCACGCAGGGTCAGTGTCTGATGTTAGCTTTATTATGAAAGATATCGAATGGCCAATAAGAAATATGAAAAACATTATTTTTACGAATTATTATTATTACGAAATAAAATGCTATGTGTTGATATGATCAAATAGGGTGACGTCTACGTATGGG